GAAAATCTCACTTCAAAAAGTCGACTTTGAGGTTCCGCGCTTTATCACGGACGGCCTGCTGGTCACGATAATGCTCAAAGTGTTGCCTAGGGGCGTAGGGAGGCGGGGCTTCATTTCTGTCTTCAGACACTGGATTTGCGTGGTGGAAGATCTTGGCCCAGTGACAGTCGAACTGGTGGATGTATTTGAGCAACTTGTCCACATCGCCGTTCGACCACGGCACACGTCTCTGTACGCGCTGCTCCCCGGAAACCAATTGTTCTAGGTGACGGTTGTGGCTGCGGTTTTGCTCGGAGATGGCGCGATAATCCAGGGCCTGCTCTTGCCCTTCTCGGCCTCGGTCGTCTGTGGCTTCCCTGTCGTCGATAGGGGCAGGGTGGTCGCGACGACGGACCCGCTGCCTGGCCTGGGGATGCAAGGCGGTGCTAGTCGGCGCCGCGGGTCGCGTGGACGGCATGGACGAGGGTGGGCCTATGCGAGGTCTTTTAGCGGGCGGCGGCAGGGCTCTGCGGTCGATCTCGGCCCGGCGACTTGCTTCGTCGAGACGTCTTCTATCTTGTTGAAAGTCGCCGTCGCTCTCGTCACCGTCATTCGCTTCTATCACTTCTTCTTCTTCCTCTTCTTCTTCTTCTTCGTCTTCTTCAGCGCCACGGCGTTTGCGGCTCTGGGTCGGGTGAGAACTTGTGGGAGGGCGCTCGGCGCGCTGGCTGGGTCCGTTCCGCGATGACGAGCCCGGCAACCTAGACGAGGCAATCCGATTGACCGGGATCCGGCTCAGAATTCCTCTGAAGTATGCATCACTCCCCGTGTCAGACATGCGGGAGGCTTGACTGCGGTCATCTCTTGCTTGTTGCGATGCATGGTTCCGTAAGTTCATGAGCAGTCCCACTGTGCTCTTGCTAATGCGAATGGGATTCTCGATAGACCTGCAAATAAAGTAAGAAGCCGATCACATGTGGCGAAATAGGTTTAAAGTTGGAGTGCTTACTCTTGTGGACGAATAATATCTTGGGGTGATGGTTGGGAGGCATGTCGTGAGCCTTCAGCATCACCGATAGGCATCGACGACCCTCGGGCACTTGGTGATCCTTCCAGAACGTCGACAAGGGCGGATTGTATTTTTCCAAATTGTTCAGACGCCAAGCCGATGAGTGCTGGTACCAATCCGGAGCCTCCGGTGAGAGGAAATTCACGTCTCAAAGATGAAATGAATTCGGCAACCGTCTCAAACGCATCATGTTGTAGAATTTCATTGATTCGCTGGGCAGACTTTTCTGCCACATCATCGGGGATCGGAGGTCGATAACCAGCTATCCTAGCAACGAGCCTCTCCCTCTGGGATGCAAAGGGGAGCGAGTCGTTTGAATCTAGTGTGTGGGAGAAGACGGAGTCTACCATCTGAACAACATAGTCCGGATCGTTGTCATGGTCGTCGATCGATTCCACGAGGGCCGCAATGAAGTGTTGGGTCCGGATCTCCAAGGCGACACAAACAGCTTGGTCGGTCAAGCTCCAGGGCTCGTCTTCGGCGCTTAAATCGTCCGACCACGGCAGAAAGGGGTCAGGGAAATCTCGATCCAAACGCACGAAAAGAGCAGTCGGGTCCGTCCCATCGGCAACCCGGAAGAGCTCGTCGGCAAGAATAGTCAAATTAGCTGCAGCTAAGATACCTTGAGCCTTAATATTAACATTCGGGTCGAGAGAGTTAACGATAGTACGCCAGGGGATGAAAATATCCTGGTCAGCGTACAGTCTCAGGTAGTTGGCGAAGGCTTTCCTGTGGACGTCGACGAGATCGGCCCAGATTGGCATCTCGACAGGCATAGAAAGCTGTTGAAAAAGACGTTTCGCAGCATGATTCAAGTCGTCCAAACAGAGACTGCGCATCATGTCCATGCCATGGACTTTGTCCTGAGCCAAAGGGTCATCCGGATCTGGGTCTGAGTCGGAATGCGAACGTCTCTCTGCTTCAAATAAGGCGCCAGCGGCCTCTGATAACTTGCGCGAACTGTCTGGAAGCTCTGTGAAGGTGTTAGACTGATTAGCGCAGAGACGTTGAGGCCAAAAGAGGCACCTACGCGGTTGGACGTCGTCCCCGATGTCTGTATCTCCGACTCCATCTTCGTGCATGCCCTGGCTGTTGAGCCCTTTGAAGGGTTTTGTTGTTACTTTTGTGATCGGAGACAAAGAAACTTGGATATAATTCAGAGGAACAGCCATACATACCCACATGTTCCTGGTCGTTGACTTCGTCGTTTTCCTCATCGTCGGAAATGCTGATGCTGTTGCCAACGACACTCTGAGATGTGAATTCATGATCTGACAATATTAGAATGGCAGTGAGCCAGACATACTAAGAGAGTCTGAGAGAGAGAAACGAAGTGGACTCAACTCACCGGCGTCACTGTGAACCGGCGAGACCTGACTTAAAGAGAAGCTCTGGGCTCGTTCGCCGTTGACATGAGCGGTACGACGAGCTGGTGGGCCATAGGCTGATGGCGGCAGAGACTGTCGTGACTCCGAGAATGCATAATCCGGCCGTCCCATGATTCTGGCAAAGGTCTGAAGGTTTCTCGGTGTCTGGGGTTGCGTGTAAGACGGTTGGGCGAGTCTCTCGGGCTGCTCTTGAAGAGGGCGAGATGCGACCTGAGTGGGAGGACGCCCAGGGCGTCGTCGACGCCTAGTTTCCGAGGGCGGTCCCGGACCATTTGCTGATGATCTTGTCCGAGCCATCGCAAAGAAAACCCTGTGAGCGAAGCCTTACGACCGTCTCCCTCGTCCAGTCGATTGTAAAAGATTGTGGGGTGATGATGAGATGGAAGGGGAAGAGAGGTCGCGCGCGCCGACGCGTAGTAAATGAGCTACACGCGAATTGTCAGTCTAGAATCCCAGAAGCCAAATATAAACGAGCTACCAATTCCTTGTGGTTAGTGGCATCCATGCTCAGTACCTTACTAAGGATTGTCGTTGGTAACATGCGCATGTTGTGCTTGCTCAGTGTTAGAAAGGGTTAGAGGGTTTGGTTCAGGGTTGGAGATTAATTTCCTTCATAAGGTACCTTACCTTACAAAGCTACCTACCTAGAGACATGTTGATTGATGCCACCCTCACTCACCCTTCCATTACCCATACGAAGGTACATCTAGGTACGAAGTACGAAGGAGGGAAATACAGTGTTTATAGGTATATTATACACTGTGTCTCGTACCAAAACGCCTAATAATCGGGCAAAAATGTCCGACCATCACGATACACCACTGCCGAGGTTTAGAAGGTCAGCGCGAGTAAGAAGCCAATACGACTAGCTCAGGAGAACGGGGGACCTGTAAGTACCTTAAGTAAAAAGTGAATCAAACCACATAAGATAAGTAACTAACAGCATTTCTAAGTACATATACCCATATAACACTATTGCCTCACCACCAGCATAACCATCACCACTATCGTCACAAAATACGGATTGTGTAAAAACTGGTAAAAGTTGTGGGTGCTTAAAGTACGGTGTTTCTGTCCGAAAAGGTGGCGATGGTTTCAATTCTAATGCATGTGCCTTGTGTTATGGGTGTCACTCCCCTGATCGGCATATGCCCTTCGTACACTACCGATGTACGTGTACGACCTTCTACGAAGCAAACCCGGCAGAGGTGTACTTCAAGAAACATTAAGAGAGACTCCAAAGCGAGAACTAAACACCTCACTCGGCCTCTATCATAACCCACTTAGCTTCATCTATTGTGTAGGTTCATCGCCCATGAGATGAAATAGTACTGCACTGCGGTACAAGGCCGTGAGCCATGCGCGCGGTTTGCGATTTCTCAAGCAAGCCGTGAGGTTCTCAAGGTAGGTAAGGTTTTCTCAGGTGATTAATCGTATTACCGAGTAAGCAAACAGACTACCTACCTTAGTGTAAAAGACCGTTTACCAAAAAAACAAAAAAAGACAGAAAATCGATGGCCAGTTGGTACAACGTAATCATATAGTGTCTACGGAGTACCTAAGAAATAAGCGTCGCCGATGTCCTCCCACACCCCGACAATGTTCGGATGGGTTAGGTGTTTCGTCTTGTTTAGGCGTTCCAGGCGATTAGTAAGCGATCTCTCCCCCGATACGGAGTAAACAATACCACAAGTGCCGGGCTGACAGGTACCGGGACCAGGCTGGATTGGGTCATGCAAAGACAATGCCATCTCGGACTTCCCAGTCAACTTGTCCTGGCCGGTGCACTTGGATACAGTACGAAATAATACAGAGTGATACCTGGCAGTCCTGCCTTCCTGCTTGTACGGACTACCTAAGGTACTGCTCAGCTCGGTCGCCCCTGGTCCTTCCTACCTTTAGCTTCTTGCTCATCCTTCCCTCCCCCAACCTCGCCTGTGCTTAGGTACGACATGGTTCTCGGGACTCGGAACGAAGCCTAAACCCCAACCCTCCAAATGATCAACAAAACCCGACTCGGCCACACCCACGATGTCCTTCATCGAGCCACGCCTAATCCACCTACTGAACGATTCTACCACTCCACATCTTTCCCATACAGAATTACCTTCCTTAACCGAGGGGTCCTCCGAGCCCGCCGATCGACCTTTCCCCGTCGAGCCTACGGCGAACCACTTCGAAGATCAAGCCCGAATATCGATATGTTCTGTGCCCGGAAGTCATACAGCTCATGGAGTTGGAGTCCCTCTCCTACGCCCAGGAAGCGGGGTGGAAGATGGCTTTCTCACCAAAGACACTCGCAGGGGAGATAAATCGGCTTCAGATCGGAGCCGTATTCCTTTGGAGCTTCTTCTACGCGAGCCCAGTACACAACCCTGGGCCTCCGACCAAGTGCCGCCGCATTTTGTTCCTGATAGTCAAGATGATACGGCCTCGAAGAAGCGGCATCGAACCGCCGCGACGAAGGAAGACTTACTGCATCTGCCGCAGCCCGTCAAGAAGCAGAAAGCCTCGTCACAGAGTCTCCTGCCGCCCATGCCGCCCATAATCAACGGATTGCACGAGCCGCCCCCGAACGCAGCTCTATTTCCGCCCATTGCGCCGAACGCGTTTGATGGTTCCAAGGGGGGCCATCGGTCCACTGCTATGAACTACTCGGGTCGCCATGAAGAGACACTAGCCAGGATGTTGCCTACGAACGCACCTACCGCGAAGCCTGCCGAGACGCCAACAAAAGCCGAACAAGAAAAGGGTCCCGTCAAGTCTCGGAAGAAGGCCATGAAGCCAAGAAGAAAATGGTCAGAGGCAGAAACGAAGCACTTGTTGCTCGGTGTCGACCGCCATGGCGTGGGCAAGTGGACTGATATTCTGGCAGACCCAGACTTCCAATTCAACAACCGCACCGCTGGTGATCTTAAGGATCGGTTCAGGACATGCTGTCCCAACGAGCTACGCAAAGGCCCCCGAGACGAAGAGCCCACTTCCCCGGCCGACGCTATGCCAACTGCTGTGCCAACTTCCACGGGGGAGTCCAAAAACAGGCCGAAAACCGGTCTCCTGTCGGAGAACATTCTTATCGACACAGATGCCCCTTACAACTCGGCCCCGGTTCAGTCAAGATCCGACGATGCTGAAGCGGAGCCCAAGTCGAGGAGGACCAGAGCTCACAGGAAAAATATGGAAGACTTGGCGGAGCTGGGCATCCATGGCCCTTTCAAAAAGTCGCACCGCCGTGAGAGACGGCCCTTCTCCGAGGAAGACGACAGGCTAATCCTCGAAGGGCTGTACAAATACGGCCCGGCCTGGACCAAAATCCAACGCGACCCCAATTACAGACTCGCGGGACGTCAACCGACGGATCTCCGCGACAGAGTGAGGAACAAGTATCGGGACGTGTATTTGCAGGTCGAAAAAGGCCTTCTCCACGCCAAGGACGGTATGACACTGGAACCATCGATCCGCATGGCGATCAGCAACGCCCTGCAGCCCACGAAGCTACCGGCCTTGGACCACCCTCCATCTCAACCGTGCTCGAGAGACGACTCGTCCCGTTGGCCACTGTCTGTCTTGGATAACGGCGAGAACCCGGGCACCTCACAGTACTTTGACTCATCCGAGCCTGCGCCTTCGGCATTACTGGGGAACGCGGGCGAAATGGACATTGCACGTCTTCTTCTAGATTGAGCCAGGGAGCTTCCCACATGAACCCTACTGGTTCCACCCCTCTTTCAGTTTCGAAATATCGAAATATGTTCCAGCAGGGGCAGCATGCATAATATGCCCGCTCTTCTCGTGTCGGACTGGAAGTGGAAGACTCGCCGAGAAGAAGGGGAAAAAGCCAACACAACACAACAGGCTGAGATTCAACGTTGCTCCTACTATAACTTCGGCAAACAAACCGAAGCAAGCTAGAGCTTTATCCCCTTTCGGACGCGGCACTCTTTCCATTGTAATTTTCCACCACCCTGACGCATCCACCTGGGGGGTAGTCGTTGTTCCCTTTCCCGTCATCAAGTCGGAACTGCAAGACCAAAGGATGGATGGGGGTGTTCTTTATTTCTTTTTTTATCATTATATTATCAACTGTTTGGCAGGAGTACATCAAGGACACGGGCTTCCTTGAGGGTTTGGCTTTTCTTTTTTCCTTTTTTTCCCGGACCGGAGCAAGAGTCCTCATAACCACATCTGGCGCTTGGGGTTTAGGTACGGAAGACAGGATACACGCCAGTACCTCACGGTCAAAACAGGCGAATCGAACAAAAAGAACAGGATGGGCTGTCGGCTTATAAAGGATCGGATTAATTCCAAATATGCAGGCGAGGGTTGGAAGGAGATGTGCCTGAAGCCACCTGGGGCTTAATAGAGGTAGAGCAGAAGCCCTGTCGGCTTGTTTTGAACAAGAGTCGAGATTATTATAAGAACCTGGGACGTTTAGTTCATAGGTGAAGCTCGACGCAGGTCGGCGGCATTCATCTGACAGCTGTTGTCTCGACATGCTGGGTCGGTGTGCTGTTGCTGACCGAAATGCGAAGAGGTAAGGTGAGCGAATTGGGAAGGCGCACGGACCATTCTTGACATCCAATCAAATCCCTTCTCTCGCTTGCCATTTGTGTCTAGGGCAATGACCTAGCGTCACCACAGAAATTCTTTCGGAGCCCTGGGACCACTTTTCCTTGTTACCCTTCGTCTTGACGACCTTTTTGCGAGCCTCTCACTGTCCGACCGTCAACCCTCCGACACCACCACCAAGATACCCATCCGCCAGTCTCGGGACAGACAGTCAATATGGGCAAGGGACTGTAAGTTACTATGCAACCCCAGTATTCTGCTTTTGCATGCACCTCCGTTGCGGGCACAATGGCCTTTTCTTTCCCACCGCGCGCCAGGTTTCTGCAACAATTTGCGAAGCAGCTCTGCCACGCAGAACGGGCGGGAGAAAACCGATGTGAAGCAAGATCCTAATTTCTTTACAGCAAGAAGCACCAGAAGCGCCTTAGCGCGCCGTCGCACTGGCTTCTCGACAAACTGTCGGGCACCTACGCTCCCCGCCCGTCTCCTGGTCCTCACAAGCTCCGCGACTGCTTGCCCCTGATCATCTTCCTCCGTAACCGCCTGAAGTATGCGCTCAACTACCGCGAGACTAAGGCCATTCTCGCCCAGCGCCTCATCAAGGTCGACGGCAAGGTCCGCACCGACACCACCTACCCCACCGGCTTCATGGACGTCATCACCATTGAGAAGACCGGCGAGCACTTCCGCCTCATCTACGACACCAAGGGCCGCTTCACCGTCCACCGCATCCAGGCCGAGGAGGCCGAATACAAGCTCGGCAAGGTCAAGCGCGTCCAGCTTGGCCGCGGGGGAGTCCCATTCTTGGTCACGCACGATGCAAGGACGTGAGTTTCATCATGCTTCTGTCAGACATCATTCAGCCGTTGGATCAAGCTTTGGTCGACTCGAGGGGGCAAGGATAAGGCGCGAAGAATTTCGCTTTGCCAACCACAGTCCATCAAAAAAACAAAAGCCGAAATCTTTTTTTTTTTCGCGGGCGTGGTTGTGTCGCGGTGATTTTCTACTCGGTCTTGCTGCTCTCTCTTTATACCCCACGATTCAGATTAGAGCTTCATTTAGCGGCTGTATGTGTTTCCCCCTTCCCCTTCTGTTTGCTGACAAGGGACCGTTTGTACACAGCATCCGCTACCCCGACCCTCTGATCAGGGTCAACGACACTGTCAAGATTGAGCTCGCCACCGGCAAGATCACCGACTTCATCAAGTTCGACACTGGCGCCATCGTCATGGTCACTGGTGGTCGTAACATGGGCCGTGTTGGTGTTATCACCAACCGTGAGCGCCACGATGGTGGCTTCAACATTGTCCACATCAAGGATGCCATTGACAACACCTTCGCTACTCGTGAGAGCAACGTCTTCGTCATTGGCTCGGAGAAGCCCTGGATCTCCCTGCCCAAGGGCAAGGGTGTCAAGCTCACCATTGCTGAGGAGCGTGACCGCCGCCGTGCTCACGGTATTGCTGGCCAGTAAGCGTCTTTTTATGTCCAGGACGAGGTCGGTAAATGGATAATGGGATTGGGAACACATGGGTGAATCCAAAAAAAGAGGGTTGATTGCAAAGCATGAATCATCGGAGTCTAGGTCTGATATTTTACGTTTCCGGCTGTGATGACTCTCCCGGAACAGGTAGCTAGCTGTTCTTTTTACGGCAAATACCATGCCATTGAAGATCACCCTGAGATTCCTTTTCCATTCACAAACTCGTATGCTCTTTCGTTTCCGAGTGAGGTGCGAGGACATGGAACAGCAGCCCATGCCATGCAAAGAGCTTCCAGGCCCTGCTACGGGTTGTTGGCTCCGCCAAAACCGGTTCTCGGAGGATGCCACCAAAATGGGCCGCAGCACTGTGTTTCCAAGGCTACGAAACATGGCGCAATGATGCAGAACGACGCTCATAAATTTGGGGCATTGGTCAATCAGGCTCTCAGCCAGGGCCGTGGCAAGATGCAAAGCTCCTACGCCTGGTCCATTGGTCCATGGAACTTGTACCAATTCCATAGCTGTGGCTATAGATGGGTGCTGGGAGGACGGGAGAACAGGCCCAGCCCCGCGTCAGCTTTTACGTACTTGAAATGCGCCTTCGAAAAAGCAAAGACTTCTAATATATTCCTAGGCTGCTGGATGTCTCTCAGTCAAGCATTGGCTCTGGTAGCAGGGGCCCGGAAGAAGGCAGAGCGCGTGCCGCTATTATTTGAGGCCCGCACTCCTCGTCCATGCAGCCTCCATGTTCGGGGGTTGACGAGGGTAATTTTATTTTCAAATTGGTCAGATGGACGAATGAACGATGTAGAAGGTAGTTCCCGGCTTATTCTTGGTCGCCTCCTCCTTGGCTCTCTCTCGGGCTTTTTGTATGTAGGTAGTCAATGCAACCCCTGCAAGCAAGTGTCATGCCGTTTCTTTCACAGACCCCCAACTTCGGGTCTCTCTCTCCCCCCCCCCCATGCGCCTCAAGGCACACCGCCAGCCTGCAACTACTGCCTACCATAGTAGCTTGTGTCTTCTATTTTCACCGCCGAGTCCATCGTGCAATCATTTCCTGGCCAGTGAAGTGCATACGACGACCTGGTGCAGGGTCATATTTCTACCCGGCATATGGGGTACACATACTTCATAGACCGGGCGGGCTTCTAGTCGCGTGTCACCGCCAGGTTCCTGACCTCCGACCCCGTCAAGGAAACCAGGGAGCGGGGATGCGGGGATGCGGAGGTGAAGGGAGGCAGCTGGTTGCTCCAACGAAGTTCGGGGCCCGGGCTGTAAATGTTCCTATACTCCCGTAATTTGTTACCCCATTTAAGGTAGGTTCCTTTGATGTGTTCCTTGCAGTAATTAACGCGGAGCTTCGGGACCTCGAGTTGTATCCGAGGTGTGGAGATCAACTCCTTATTCCCCGACCAGCCTCTCTTTGTCCCGGGCCAGCAAAGCCCCGAACCCACGGAAATGTTAAGTTTACGCTAGAATAGCTCCCATATGTGACCCCCACGTATCCTTCACCGGCGGTACGGAGTAAGAATTACCTAAGGTAGTGTACCGTATCTGTACTGAAAGCTCACCTTTAATCTCAGCTTACGGGTTCTTTTAACACTACCTGCTTGGTATGTAAGTGGAAATAGGAGTATGTCATGATCGAAGAATTGGGAATGTACTTCGTACGAAAACACCTACCTAACGAAGTCCTGATCCTGCAGGTGGGTTGGATGATCGCTGTCTTGGTCCCACCACCCCGCAATATATGCGCTGCGTGCATGCATCTGTTTCCAGAAGGGGAAACTGGCATCAATAAGCCCCCGATATTGGTGTGGTTGGATTCCAAGCCAAGGGCTACTTAGCATACGTAGTTGGTAATAGATTTGGAATTGTTATGGGAGAGCATCCGCATACACTGTACTGAGTACATGTCTCGGGGGGTCACGCGGGCTTTTTTTTCTTCCTTTCCTTTTTTTTTTTCTTTCTCTCCGGGTAGCCTCGTCCCACGTTTTAGAGGTACCGGTTGTAGGCCGGGAGTCCCAAACGGGGAACGAGCTCTCCTGTTAGACTCCCTCTGGCTCGTCTCGCCGCCCAAGGGATAAAACTGGTCTGGTTTCGACACGCGATAATAAACAAACAGCAGCCGACCGTCGGTTACCGAGCCGCACTCGGATCGGACCTTCGCCGAAGAATGGTTCGTCATCGTCGGCTTTTTATGCATGTTCACCCCCACTCTTTCCTCCACCAAGTAATCACCCCCACAAATCTTCGAGGACCAAAACCGACACTCGTCAATCCGTCGTCCAGGACCCATGACCATTGAACCCCCCATATCTTGGGCCTGTGACCTCAAAATAGCAGCAGCAGAAGTCCTACCTTCGAGGCCGCCAGGTGGAGAAAGCCGCGAGGATTGGGGAGGCAGCGAGTGGTGGTTCGTCGGCTTTGATGTCGGGTTTCTCACCGTTTAAAACCACCACTTCGCCGTTGCCGGCCCTTAGCCTATCTTTCCCTCCGGTAGGTAGCTCCCCAAGACGAAGAAAGGGACTAAGTTTGGTGAAACGGCATCCCTAGGAGTTTATTTGACCGACACTCACCGCCCACCGCCCATCGCCCTCTGTCGCCACTCCTGGAGACGAAACGTCCTCTCACTCCTCCCTAAAATATCTTACTGTACGAAAGTTGTCAAAACCGGTACTCCGTACTCCCGACTTTGCTGCGATCATCAAAGACAAAAAGAAATGTGCAATGAGCCGGTCGTCAGTTGTCTTCCATCTTGAATGATAGGCATCGAAATGTACCGCGCAACATCCTGCAGGTCGGCCACCAGTGTCGCGAGACCCCTGCTCTGGGGTCGTGCCAGGCATTGTGTTCGGCATGGTACCAGCACTCGCCCGTGGGTGAACGACGTTCCTCTTGCGGGCGCCGCCCGCACCTCCCCGCGTTTCTTCATTAGCAGCTCGCCGGCTCGAAGCGCCGAACCGTTGCACAGTGGTGGCGCCAGCAGCAGAAGTAGCGGCGGTCATTCTCATTCTGGGTCTGGCTCTGGGTCTGGCTCTGGGTCTGGCTCTCGGCTCTGGACCACAAGATCGGTCTTCGCCGTGGCCGCTACCACGGCTACGTTGGGATGGGCTCTTGCGGACTTGAACCGGGGGGGAGGTACTAGCGGGATCTCCTTCTTGCCGAGTCGTTTTACCCAGTCCGGGGGCAGAATGGGCCATCCACGGTATGCAACCGTGTCTGAAATGGAACTGGTATGTCCGATATCTCAAACGAACCTTTTATCTTGTTTCCTTCGTGTCGGAGGGAAATCTCAAAGCATAGAGACCTCGGTCGGGACTAAAGCCACCTTTTTCTTCTTCTTGTACAGGCCCTTAAAGAGATGCGCGGCGCCCTGGGCGATGACGATCTCATATCTACAGACCCGGAGGATTTGCTCGCGCATGGATACTCGGAATGGTCGTCGACGAACCCGGATGGGCTCCCGGTGGCTGTTGCGTATCCCCGGTCGACGGAGGATGTGTCGACAATCGCGCGTATCTGTTACAAGTACAGCATCCCCATCATCCCTTACTCTGGCGGTTCGAGTCTAGAGGGGCACTTCTCCGCCCCACACGGCGGTGTCAGCGTCGACTTTGCTTATATGGACAAGATCGTCCAGTTCAACAAGGACGATATGGATATCGTTGTCCAGCCCAGCATAGGTTGGCAGGACCTCAACGAGCAGCTTGCTAAGATGAACAGTGGACTCTTCTTGCCCATTGATCCTGGTTGGTCATTGCTTTACTTTTTGCCCTCACCATACCTTTACGGCGTAGGACTAAAGAACTAACCTGAACACATCTATGTTGTAGGCCCCAGTGCCAAAATTGGCGGTATGGTTGGTACGAATTGCTCGGGGACCAACGCAGTAAAGTACGGCACAATGAAGGACTGGGTCGTCAACCTGACGGTGGTCCTGGCAGATGGCACCGTCATCAAGACTCGACGGAGGCCCAGGAAGTCATCGGCAGGGTACAACCTGAATAGTCTGTTTGTCGGGTCCGAGGGCACGCTGGGTTTGGTGACTGAGGGTGAGTCATTTGCATTTGTATTGGTGTATCCAATCTTTTATACACATGCATTTGCTAATGTGTTTTTTTCATTTTTGTTTCTTTCTGCTCCTAGCTACCCTCAAACTGGCCGTTGTCCCCGAAGACTTCTCGGTAGCGGTCGTGACCTTCCCCACCATCCGGGACGCCGCGTCGGCAGCGGCGCGGGTGATGCAGAAAGGCATCCCCGTGGCGGCGATGGAGATCATGGACGAGGTGCAGATGAAGGTGGTCAACATGGGGGGTGCGACGGCCCCGCGGGTCTGGAAGGAGATGCCGACGCTGTTCTTCAAGTTCTCGGGCACCAAGGGCGCGGTCCGCGAGCATATCAAGCTGGTCCAGGAAATCACGCGGTCCCATAAGGGAGGGAACTTTGAGTTTGCTAAAGACGAGCGCGAACAGAAGCTGCTCTGGTCGGCGCGTAAGGAGTCCCTGTGGTCGATGCTTGCGCTGCGGAAGGAAGGGGAAGAGGTTTGTGAGTAGTCGACTCTTTTGCTTTTTTTCTTTTCTTTTCTTTTTTTCTTTCTTTTTCTCCAGAATGATTATTAACAGCTATTGCTTCTAGGGAGCACAGATGTGGCGGTGCCATTCAGCCGTCTCGTGGAGCTCATTGAGGTGAGCAAGAAGGAGATGGACGACCTGGGCTTGCTCGCCAGCATTTTGGGCCACATCGGCGACGGAAACTTCCACGAGAGCATCATCTACAACCGCCAAGACCCGGCGGAACGGGAAAAGGTGGAACAGTGTGTCAAGAACATGGTCCGACGCGCGTTGGACATGGATGGTACTTGCACCGGCGAGCATGGCATCGGGTGGGGGAAGAAGGAGTCGCTGCTCCTGGAAGTTGGGCCGGATACCCTGGGGGTCATGAAAGCGATTAAGCGGGCGTTGGATCCCAAGTGGATTATGAATCCGGGGAAGATTATGGATCTGCCTTGATGCCTTGAGGGAAAGTTCCTCGAGCGCCGTCCGAGGCTCGACTTGGACGGGTTTTCTGCTCCGTATAGGGCGGATGTTGATTAGTAATCACTTTACCCCTGACGGTGGCAAACGAGCAGTGAGGGTGAGGGTGAGGGTGAGGGTGAGGGTGAGCAGTGAAGGTTTGACGAAGGGTTCAGTCATGTTCGGTGCCATGATAACCCCAACCCTTTGTTGGGATGATACCGCTATGAGGCGAAAGCTGCAATGGCCCATGGGAACGGAAAGAAGCATTATGCCATCCACGGCAAAGAAAAGGGGCAAGCTCCATCTTTGACCACGGGGGTGGCCAATATGCAAAGCAGCAAGCAAACAGGCAAGAAAGCAAGCAAGCTTCTAGTATATAGCACATAGCACATAGCAATGGCATATACATTTGCGTGTTCTTTTAAGAAAACTCTGCTGTTGCATGTTGTCTAGGTAGATTGTCTAGGATCCTTTAGGGCATCTTACCCAAGGATGGCCCCCTGATCCCCAACTCTACTCATGGGTCGTCTCCTACACGATTAGAATATCTTGTCTTATTCGTGCTACTTTTCAACTGACCGTACTCGAAAGCTATAGTGCTATGCTTGTTAAGGTTATCAGTACTTCTTGTTTGTCACGACTCGTTTTCTGCTCTGCCTCTGTAGATGAAGCGTGATCTACTCCAGACTGAAAGGCTTGGATCCCCGTGATGCCCATTATTAGCAACCCGAGCCGTCAGTATTGGCTTTGATATAGGTACTTTCTAGACCAGGTAGGGTCGCTCTTTCTATAACGCACCAGGCAGGTAGTAGTCACTTTGGCTGGAGTACATAATGTTTCACATCTACAGGTCGTTCTTGCCTCCAAGTTCCTGTATATACAGTACCCATTAGGGAGAGAGAGCAAGAGCCACCTAAGTGAAGTACCTGTACCTACCTTAGGTAGTTACCTTAGCCTCCAGCTTCAGGTCTTCGACGTAACTTCTTAGGCTCTTGTTTCTTCTGTTTTCTTGTTCTTTGTCCTTTCTCTTGCGTCTTGTTCGACCTTCCGCATCCCTATACCTATGCCTATCCCATCCCTAACTTCTCTTCCAGACTCTCTGCTCTTCTTCTTTTCTCCCAATGGTCCGTATATTGCTCAACCCGCCACGTCCAACCCTACTATCTCAATCTCATCTACTCGTCTCAAGTCTCCGCGGCCTACATAATGGGGGACTGGCAAGCGTGGCCGTTCGTCGCCGTCCGACTGCGATACATACCTGAAGGCGTGACAACCCGGGACATCCACGCTGCCTTTGCCCAATATGGAGAAATCGTCTATATCGAGCAGTTCGAAGACCAGCGCGGCGTCCTCAACGGTGAGGGACGTATCTCCTTCGAGCCCCCACCTATGACTCCTTTCTGGAGGCTCAATACTTACACTATAAGCTACGACTCCGATGGCAGCCGAACATGTAAAATCCGTCTCGAACTTGGGCCTCCTCCAAAGTTTACCGGAAAGACCCGTAGTAAGATCAACCCGAGAGTCTTCTACCCCCACAAGATGACTTTCAATGCTCGTTCTCTCGACTTTGGTGTCACCTCGACCGGCTCGGATATCATGATCAAGGCTTCCATACGGTCTTCGCCATCCTCAACAAGTATTCAGCGGGTCCGCCTGGAGACCGATTTTCGTCGCAAGACCTTGACCGTATACTTCCCTCACGCCATCTCGCTCAACCCCCAAGAAAGGGGCGAAAGGGTCCGCCAATATAAAGCCGTTATAGATGCTTCCCAGATCAAGCAGCTGGCCGTGACTACCTTACGTCCGTCGGGAACATGCTCTGGTAATTCCGTGCTCCTCACCATCCCCCTCCGACACCCTCCCTTCTACCACCTCAAGAGCAATGACGTTGCTCCGAGCCTTGATGCCGATAGGCGTGTGTGGTCTTCCAATGACCAGTGGCATCGCATTACCCACATCATGCAGGACCTGCTTCTGCCCCAGGACTACACCGTCGGCTTGGCCAACGCATGGTCGGATCCCGCCTTTATCGACATTGGCCGCTGGACCACTCTCCGTCTTGACCTCGATTGTGACTCGACCGTCATAGCGCAGTTCCTATGTGCCCTAAATGACCTGAACATAGACATTCGCAAGGACGATAAACCTGTCGAGCTTCGGGATGGCCCGGTTCTTCTGCCCCCTGAGAATCATCCCGTCCGACACCACGACAGATATCCTCCTCCCCATGACCCCTACAAATCTACCAGCGCCTTGCATGCTCTTCGCCATCTTGCGGGCGACAACGGCGGTGCCGGCACCAATACCAGTGGTGATGGTGGCGGCAATTTTGTCGACTTGATTATCCCTTACTTGCCTTTCAACGTCCAGTATCAGCTCGAGGTCTGCATTTCGCGTCATATTCTCTGCGAATACGAGCTGTCGCACCAGTTCTTTGCCAAGTTGCGAGCTCTGAACCCCCAGCGCGCTCAGTTTGCTCTAGAGTACATGGCCGACCGGGGAGAGCGAGTTTGTGACCCCTTGGCCGTCCTGGACGACACCCAGTCCCGACTCTACTACCCGAGTCCCGTCTTACCCAATTATTGCACCGTCATGCGCAAAGCCACCGTCACCCCGACCACCATCTACTTTAGCACGCCCGCCGTCGAGTGCACCAACCGTGTGACCCGGAAATGGCACTCTCACATCGATCGCTTCCTCCGCGTGCAGTTCACAGACGAGCTCTTCCGCGGAAAAATCAAAACCAATGCCACCATGGACATTGACCTGTTCATCTTCAAACGCGTCTATCTGACTCTGCTGAACGGCATCCGTATCGGCGATCGCCATTATAAGTTCCTCGCCTTTGGAAATTCCCAGATCAGGGAATGCGGTGCCTACTTTTTCTGCGAGACGGACCAGTTGACCTGCGAGGCCATGCGCGGCTGGATGGGCGACTTTGACCATATCCGCGTCGTCGCCAAGTTCGCCGCCCGACTGGGCCAATGCTTCTCAACTACTCGCGAGGTCCGCAGCATCCGGGCACCCGTGATCAAGCTCATAGACGACATTGAGCGGGACGGCTTCTGCTTCACCGACGGTGTTGGCAAGATATCCCCTCTTCTGGCCCGCATTGTCGCCGAAGACATGAGCCACGAGATGGCTGGGGATGAACCGCCATCGGCCGTCCAGTTTCGAATGGGTGGCTGTAAGGGAGTCTTGGCCGTATGGCCCGAGGCGAAGGGTTTGGAGGTCCACGTCCGCCGATCGCAGGAGAAGTTCAAGGCCCAATTCAACGGCCTCGAGATCATCCGCTGCGCACGCTATGCTACCGCCACCCTGAACCGTCAGACCATCACCATTCTGACCTGCCTCGGCGTTCCTGAACAAAACTTTCTCGACATGGTCCGTCATCAGGTCGCCGAATATGCCTCTTCCATGCAGGATCAATATGCCGCCGTTGGCCTCCTCGAGCGCCACATTGACGAGAACCAAATCGCCCTCTTGCTCAAGGAGCTCATCAACTATGGCTTCATGGACCCTCAGGTTCAGGAGCCCGTCGTCCTCACTTTTCTACAGCTCTGGAGGGCCTGGTCAATGAAGAATCTTCGAGAAAAAGCTCGCGTCGTCGTAGACCAAAGCGCTTTTGTGCTGGGTTGCGTCGACGAGACGGGCACGCTCCGAGGTCATTCGGTCGCCACCGAGAGCCGAAGCGACTCCAAAAGCCACGACGACCTTCCCCAAATATTCCTCCAGATTCCCGACCGGCAAGCCAGCAGCGGATTTAAGGTTGTCGAAGGCGTCTGTATTGTAGGCCGGAATCCTTCGCTCCATCCTGGCGACATTCGTGTTGTGCAAGCCGTCGACTGTCCCGTGCTACACCACCTGAAGAACGTGGTCGTCTTCCCAAGCACGGGAGACAAGGACGTTCCGAGCATGTTATCGGGCGGTGACCTTGATGGTGACGACTTTTTCGTCATTTGGGATCCCAAACTGATCCCGCCCGAGTGGAATTACCCCCCCATGGACCATCGTGCTCCCCAGCCCGAGACCCTCCAGCGCCCCGTCTCGGCCTCTGATCTGATCAAATTCTTCGTCAAGTACATCCGGAACGACTGTCTTCCCTTGATTGCCCTTTCTCACCTCGCCAATGCCGACAATCTCCAGGGAGGTGCCAAGAATCCCAAATGTGAGTTCTCTCGAACCCCCCTTTTCACCTTTTTTTTTCCGCTTTTTTTCCTCCCTTTTTCTTTCACTCTTCCCGACACCAGTCAAGGACGCGCGCATCATGACTTTCAACGCCATGTAACTTACACGTCTCGACAAGGTCTGGAACTTGCCGCCCTTCATTCAAAGGCCGTTGACTATGTAAAGACGGGGGATCCGGCTCACCTGAGAAGGGACCTGCGGGCGAGGAAATGGCCGCATTTCATGTCATCAAACGATAAAAAGTCGAATACCTACCACTCGGCCACGGTCCTGGGACAAATTTACGATGCGACCAGCGAAATCTCCTTTAAACCTCTGTACGAGAACGAGTTTGATAAACGGATTCTGGCCCACTCCCCCGCTGACGACGGCCTCCTCCGGAAGGCTCGGGCTCTCAAGTCACGGTACGACGATGCCATGCGCCGCCTCATGGCCCAGAGGGAGGTGGCCACTGAGTTCGAAATTTTCACTGCCTTCCCCCTGTCGAAGCCAACTGTCGGAAGCGCGTACAAGTTCTCTGAGGATATCGGCCGCGAAGCTGGCCTCCTCAAGCAAGCGTTTCGTGACGAGGTATACAAGGAGATGGGAGGACGACACTTCGACATCATCGCTCCTATGGTAGCTGCAATGTACAAAGTGACTGCAGAGGAAGCCAAGATTGTGCTACAAGAACACCGTCGAAACCGAAAGGTGGGTGCTGAGGGCTCCAAGGACCCTAATCCCAAGTCCATGCCTATTATTACGTTTCCTTGGATCTTTCACTGGGTTCTCGGTCGGCTCGCCACGGGCATGGTCCGAAGCCGCGACGTGGTCACCGAAAAGGTCTATGGCGTCAAGGCTCAGGAGAAACCGACCCCGGCCGAGCGAGGTCAAGACGATCAAGCCGCTGCCACAGCTTTGGCCTCCCCCAAAACCTCGTCTGCAGATGAATCCCAGGACGGAGAGGAGAAGTTGGACGAAGCCATCGCTGCCCGTCTGCCTGACGGACAAATCGTGCATCGTGGCGAGGTTCTCAACTTATTCAATGACGATCAAGAGGATTCCAACAGCAGCTATGACGAGGACCAGAGCCATAGTGGCGACCCTACCTCGTCATGCACTGCTACGGCCATTGATTCGGATGAGGCGGCGCTATCGTGTCAAGACCAGCAGGAAGTTCTCCGGGGAGGTGAAAACGGCGAGAAGAGAAAGGAGGTTGGCAACGATGAAGACCCATTCGCCGCAGTCTTTTCCCTGGCCAGATCAAGCCTTTTGACTTGGGCGACCCAAAAAACCGAGACTCCCACGACCGAAAAGACCAAGGACGATGTCCCACAGCCGGAAGAGCTTCCGACAGAACTCCGGACCAAGGGTATGGAGGTCGTAGTTGATGCAGTTCCTAACCCCGAATCCGACGAGGACGTCGATGAGAGCCACGAGGAAGAAACCCTCATGGATCGATTTGGGAAGACGTTCAACTTTGGAAACGCAGGCTAATGGCCATTTGGATTTTCGGTCTATTTAATCTGCCAGAGATCTATCTAGCTAGCCTAGAAGCTTCGTCTCTTGGGAGGGATGGGCCAAAGGGGAGGGAGGGAGTTTGTTTCTTGCTACGGGTTTCATCCGATTCATCCAGATTATGCAGCATCAATGTCTTTAGGAGGATGTGCTTTCCCCCATAGCTGACGTTCTCCTCTTGGGCGGGTTTCTTCGCAGCTTGCCTCTCCGTTTCCTGGGTTGATCCGCCTCGCGTTTGCAGGGACATGGCGTTAAGGAGTTACTACTCGTATTTCTCTGCCGAGATGGAGAAGGGGAGACAAATAAAGATAAAATAAACCAGAAAGACAAAAAGCAACTGAGTCCCATTGTCTCTAACCCCCCCCTAACTCCTATTTTCGAACGCAGAGATCTGTTCGTAGAACCCACTTTTCGCCTGCAGTCACCTCGCGGCCTTCGTGCTGTAGTACGCAAGGTACCCGTCTTCGTCAGTCTCAAAAAGCGTTCCAGGTCTCGTAGTAGAAGAGCGTAGAATACTGAGGGAAAGGGGCAATGGGGGAGGAGAGAAAAAAAGCTTTTTTTTTTCGGCCCCCCCCCCCCCCTTCTTTTCTTTTGTTTCTCTCCGAGTCTCTCCACTAGAGGACTGCAGAAGCCAAGGTCGTATGAGATTCTTATGCCATTGTGCTATGCGCACTGTAGTCCTTGGCTAGTTTTGCCGTCTTTTCTTTTGCTTGATTCATGATTTCCTTGAACGTTGGAGGTCGGGGCCCCCCCTCTAGTTCTTTTGGAAGAAGGGGTTCGTAATATGAAGGTTGTTTTCCCATGGAGACAGCGTGATAGAGGATAAAGGGAGTTTTTGGAAGAGTATTGGATCACAGGAGAGAATGAGGGATCTGAGATGGAGGGAAGGAAGAGAGAAGCATGAAGACCAGGGTGCCAGTGGCGGGGGAGAAGCACTGTGACGTGAGGGTGCAGGTGTATGTAGGTGGCTGGGGAGAGGAGCGGCATATAGGTCGATCAGTCGGTCCATTCGGCTCGGCAAAGATGGTGAAAGGAAAGCGCGCAGTAGGTAAGGGGTGGGTTGGTTGCCGGTAAAGGCCGACAGGAGGTAGGCTGCAGGCAGAGTACATAGGTCCGCCGGATGTGATGCGAAAATCTTCCCCTCCCCCCATTTTGCTTTCTCAAGCCGCCGCTGGTAGGCTGTGGCCTCGGTGGCGTTTCTTCGTATGATAAGGTTTTTCGTACCTTGCGTCGAAGGTCTCAGGAGTTGAAAAGTGAGAGTGATGGCCAGAGGCAAGAAACAAAGGCGTGGAGAGTGATGTAAGACAGCCCAGGGATGTACGATGCGGCGAGGCGAGGAGCATTCGATGACAGGGTCCCCACTCGTGTATGCAGCATCGTGAACGGGATGGCGTGTGGTTTATAAGTGACATGAAGAGGGGTAGAGAAAGAGAGAAAGGGGGGGCGTGGTGGCGTGCTTGCGCCAAGTTCTCGGTGGAATTCGGTATGTGTATAAGATGGGGGAATGGGGCCAGCGATACGGGACTTCGTAAGCAGCGCCAAGCTGTGCTTCATGGTTCAGGGCCGCAGTTGAGGTCTAGGATAAGACTACCTTAATCACCCTCGAGGTATAAGGGGTCGAAGACGCAACACAATCGCAGGAGCCAGATATCAGGGGCAAAAGATGCTCATGAGACAGCGGAACGAGCCGGCATTGTAACGGTCTTGGTGGTCGAAGGATGGAGAAAGAAAACAGAAGAAACAAACTTATAGGAATAGAAAGAAAAAAAAACAAGGGGGGGCGTGTGGGTGAGGAACCCAGACGATAGGTCGAGAGACTGAAAGATACTCGAATGATCAAAATACTAAAAGAATAGATATCAAAATACTCACGAGCATGCAGTCATCACCGTGCTTGTGCAAGAGGAGGAGTCCGGTCTGGGGTGGGACGGCAATCTCTTCGGACGAGCGACGGCGGTCGTTGGGAAAGAAGACGGTCTGTCCGCCGGAGCACCCGGCGTCGTCTCCGTCGGCGCTGGTTGTGAGGTAAAGGAGAAGAGTCCAGGTCGTTTTGCAAGGAACCGGTGGATGGGCGGGATCGGTAGTGAGCAAGACATTGTTGGAATCGTCGTCTAAGGTTCGCTTGTGTTAACTTCTTTTGCTCTTTTCCCACTCAACATCCTCAGTTTTCATGTTAAGGGGTCGGCACTGCAGGCACTCGGGTCAAACAGTCCGGCCACTGTGTCGGTGGCAGCTTTGTCCGTCAAACTTGGGAATATCTCCAAAGATCCTTGCCCAGCTGAATGATCTGAACATGTTCATGCATTTCAACCAACACATAAAGAGGACAGGGAAGGCAAGGAGGACCTTGGAGGGGGGAGAGAGATGATCACAGACACCAGCGACAAGGCGTTGGAATCAAGCCTCTGGACGTGAACAGGGACTGGACCGGCAGAACCGTGTCTCTGGGAACGCTGCATTATCGGTTATGGGATGCATCGTGGTGTGAGAGAGGCAAGGGTAGGAGGGGGGAGGGAGGATGCTGTGTAATACAGATCGCAAGCCCATCAGATCTCAGATACATATATGCTATCGCCTGCTCCAAGAGAGGGAAAACAAAGAGATACGAAGACGAAGAGCCCACTAAGGCCATGACGACGTCATCTACCCTGCTTGATCCGGCAAGTTCGCAGCCATTTAGCGAGCCCCCATGGACCATCGTTGCGTAGGTCATATGCAAAGATGCTGGAGTGTCGAGATACAGGACGCCGCGGGCCTAAAGGTGGAAACCCGAACTGCATGAGAACATGTTCCCTCGCCTCAACTAGGCAGGAGAAGAGGGATAGAAAGCAACTGGGAACAGGGATAACAGCGACAACGGCGACCAACAGCGACAAGTTGGGCGACATGGTGTCCATTTGGGAGATGGCCATTCCTCCTTGGACCGTCCTGGCGAAACTTTGCGTCTTTAGGAGTCCCCCCTCCTCGCTCCCCTGGCCCCCTCGCCCACTACCACGATCCCAATTTGGAATGCAAGGGATGGAATGGACGCAGCTTAATGATAAAGGACTTCTCTCCGTCTTGCGTCTTTTCAGGCGAAATACAGTGAAGATCCTTGCATGAAGAAGAAAGAGATGTTGGTCAAATACTTACAGTGAGCATCGAAGTACTGGCCTTTCAGATACCGGTAGACACGGATATTGGGACTCAAGCCGACGAGCTCGCCACCCCTAAGTAAACAAAATACTAGGTCAGCAGAATACGCGCAGATTCTCATCAGTTCTCAAATGGGCTGAAAATCCAAAAGGGCCGGATGGGCTCGCTGTACTCCTTCTGCAGGTACTTCACTTCGTACACCTGTCTGTCGCATGTCTTGGCCACTAGGAACTCCCTCGCCCTGAAATAGGCCAAACAGGCGACAGACGGGCGGGTGCTGATACAGTGGTGTGAGAAATGGAGAGAAGAAGGGGGGCACCATTGAACCCCATCCCCTTTGGGTAGGAGAGAAGCCCGAAAAAGAACGAGTGAAAGGACAGAATGGGTGTAGGTGTGCAAGACAAGGATAGGATAGGAACTAGAACAGGACAGGGCAGGGCAGGACAGGACAGGACAGGACAGGACAGGACAGGACAGGACAGGACAGGACAGGAGGAGCAGGGCGCAGGCGAAGGCGATGGACAGGGCAAAGACGCAGGTGCAGATGCAGATGCGATGCGGGCTTACCAGAGGTCGCGCACATCGCCCTGCTGCAAGGCGTCCAAAAGTCCAGTCTCCAGCCAGAGTCTTCGAGCAAATACGGGGTCCTCAACCTGGTAGCGATCGTTGACGCGGACAGCCTCTCCCCGCTTGGGACGCCCCGGCGTGGTGACCAAAGGTAAGCCCTTGAGGAAGGAGACGTATGAGCTGCACAGGGATTTGGGCCAGAAGTTGTGGATTAGGACAACCCGATCTGGACAGGACTCGAGAGGCAGGGGTGTCAAATCGGTGACGGGCAGGGGTGGTTTGAACCGGGGCCAGCGAGGAGGAGGAGGAGGGGCGTTCTGGGCAACAGCAGTCTGAAGCAATGATGTTGGTGCTGCTGGAGAGGGCACAGCTGTTTTGTTGCCCTGTTGGCCCTTGGGCTTCCCGGTTGATGTCTTGGATTTGCCCATGGTGTGTGCGTGTGTCTGTGTGTGGGTGTCTGAGTCTGCCCCCTCACCACCACCCCGCGCGCCTAGGGCCGGAGAGTGCCGAGCAAACGGAGGACGGATGAGTATCGGGTAGGATCTTACGGGATTGCTTGTGCCGCGGTTGTGGCCCGGGGAAGTGACCGAAGCGTCCCGGACGACGAGAAAGTTAGGTGCAAGACGAGAGGTTACCTGACATTCAGGGGGTCAAGACTCAAAAGACGATTGGGGCTGCAGGATCTCTGTTGAGTTCGCCGGTGTTGGGTCCACTCCGTCCTGATCGGCGCCTTTTTTCTTCTTCTTTTTTTCCTTTCCTTTCTTCTGGGGGAAGATGGACGACGCGCACGATAGTCAGAGTCGCGGGTTGGCCGAGTCTCCTACGACCGTTCCTCTCTCTTCGTCTCTTGGGTAGGCGTCGGCAATATATGCCTCTCAGCGACCCTTTCCCCCTCCCGGAACAGGGTCTGATTTGACACCCGATGTGAATACGGCGCAGCGGACATGGGTAGATGCCACACTGGGATGCAGCACCAAATGAATGGTTTGGCTACCTGAGTGAACTTGTCGTCGCTGAATGAATGACTGGCTCCGCGTTGAGCTGGTGGGGAAGAGATGGTTTACTCGACTCTGGGCTAGTTTTATCGGTCATTAATCAAGCGTTCAATAGTGGCAGGTTTCCATCAAGGACGACAGGACAGGGTGTGACTCGTGAGGGCATTCAGTATGAGATGAACTGGACGTCTGGGGGTCGGGGGAGAGGATTCTGCGGAGAATCCCTTCGTTCTAACCGGATAACGTACGTTTATTTGCATAATTGGTTGGCTTATGGCTTATGGCTATCTGCACATATTCATAACCCATCGGATACTTGCATTCAGTATCCTGTATTCTACATCGGGGCGAACAAAACAGGGAATGATCGACGTCCAGCATTAGCTCAAAGACATCGTACGTTGTAGGTTGGGGTGAGAAGCAACTGAGACAAGACCCCAGTCCAGGCTGTATCTTTCCCCGCTTCCTCCAAGATAAATAAAAGGCGTATCCCTTTTCTCTCCTCTCTCTCTCTCTCTCTCTTCCGTCTGGGATGGGACCAACGTTACGCGTACATACAATGTACCTAGTCTCATAGAAACTCGAATCATTCCACTGTATTCCCTTCCCGTGATGGAACGTCAGGAACTCGAGGGAAGTTCAGATGAACGTGGATGAGATGGATGGCGCGGCTGTCGACCAGTGATACGATTCCGATTACCGAGCCCTTGAGCCGGGGGCCTTGGGCCTCGGCTCTGTGTCGAACGAAGTACGGCGTACGGAGTATTACTGTACGTACAACTACTTCGTAAGCTACCGGGCTAATGGGCCTCCGAAGGCCGGAAACCAAATCCGTACGTTCTTCTAGATGTCGATCTTAGTATCCTACGTATTAGCACCTGCAAAGTTTGGGATGGCCATTCTTGGTTTTCTGCGCGAAGTTGCCAGTACGAGAAGTTGGAAGTTGTCACATTACCTATCAAGTATGAAATCTTACGCAGCTTACGGAGTACCGTAAAAACTCAACCAATACAACCAACAACTATAACCCTTTTTGGAATAGCGCGGCGCCCTATAATAGCCCAATATCTGTCGAACAGACCACAGTCTTTTCGGTTACGTAATTGGCCGGATTGCCAAGAGTATAATCCGGGTGGACGCTTGCAGAATCTGCACCATATAAAATACGGTGGCAGCGTTTCCCTGACGGTCTGAGACAGTTACAATTGTACACAATTGCCTCAATCAATTTTGACCGATCTTGTGACGATTTTGACTACGCTTTATCTGATAATTAAGAGTCTTAATCCCTGCTGAGTAAAGCCACCTGGCTTGAGTTCGAAACGGGAAGTAAGTCAAAGGACGAAAAAACACGATCTTAGGGTTTAAGATTTAACGTGAAAAAGTCTAGCTTACTCGGTTATCTAACTAAGCTAGGGGGGTGTGTTGAATAGAATATAAGGCAGATAAAATTACCCTACGTAATGTTGGGATATCCCTTTTGGCGTAGTGGTAAAATTTTGCTGTCTGATAATATCAACGTTAGCTACGTATTTTGGTTATGCCCTTTTAAGCCAGGATTGATGACTAAGTACATATTAGGAGGCTTTGCTCCTGAACGCTAAAAATTCTGCGTGTTTGATATTAAGACTCGAATCCCTCTTATATTTATTGGCTGACCTTTGATAAATAGGTATGGAGAAGATCGATCGCTAAGATAATAGTTGTTAGTTGTATCGGTTGAGTTTTCACGGTACTTTGATTCATCCTTATGTTCTGGTGGACCTGACCGGAACAATGTGATATGTGACAGAGCCCGTGATCGTATTGTGTTTTGTGCGTGCCTTCACGACAGGTCGTCGGCTGACGTCTGAAGTCATCTGAAATCGGGGTTCGAAAGGGGATCTAAATTTCTGTCTGGAATTAAGTAGGATATCCTCATTTTCAGTCCCGCGAGCTCCACTATCACTTTATCTTCTGTCATCGGAGGTCCCCTTCGTTATACTTCGCATGTCTCTCTTCACTCCTCTCGCAAACGAAATCCGCTCATCTCTTCTCCGAACATGGAAGTTCATCGCTAATTTAGTACATACACACCTGATTACGGGGCTCTTGGAAGTTTTACAACGCAACGAAACTCCCCCCACCAATAAATAGTACGTAGGACTAGTGGGACAGTGCAGTCTCATGGGGTTTCGTTGGTTTCGTTGGCAGACGTACCTAATACCAAGGAATGTAAGGTAATATCCAGCGGGGACAAAGGTCCTCTCAGACTTCGGCCCGCCCCGATCTTAGATTCGACCGTGGACATGGTCAACGCGACAGATTATGCACAATGGCATGATAGGACGGATATGGATACTGATGTTAGTTTATTCAAACATCGTACGAAACATGCATATACTATTGTTGTTGGAACTTGGCGGCGTATAACGCAGCGCCTCGTCAGGTGAATTCCAATCAGGCTGGAGTCCAGACCCATATGGTGATCTGCGCCAGGTCAGGTTGGTTTAACATTCAATTATTCAATTCACCATGAGATGGGAATGTGAGATCCAGTAACCTTACATAGTCGAGGTGAGCGCTAGTCGATGCACCTTGTCAAGGGCAGGTAACCGTTTGTAGGCCCCGACAGAGCATTCATGACGCTGATTGGTGTGGGCAGCGTTAAGCGCACAGGTGGACAGGGATTATTTTTGCGTGCGGGTGGTCCGCTAAGCCCAACGGGGTCAACCGGGGATGGTCCGAGCATTCCCGGAATCCCCACCTTGTGCCGGGTCGGAATGATTCACTGTCCCTCCGGCACGGATCGAGTGTGGGTACAATGGGTGTTTTATGGACCCTTTCTGTGGATATGTATGGGGCCAGAGAGAGTCCGTGTTCCTGCATGCCGCATGCATACCTTATGTAAGCAAACCAAAACAGTCAGACGTATGTACTTACGTAAACCGGTCTTTATCTTTTCCCAGTGTCAGTGCCTTCCAATTTCCACAACAACTTGCAGCCTTGCAGCCTTCCCACCCCCCAGCCTTCCAACGTCAACCGTCCATCCGGACAACGCGGACGTTGACCTTCAGACAGGTTTGGAGCTGGCCAACCCACCTCCACCTGTTGCCCTTCCCCTCCCTCATTCCCCCATAGGAAAAATTCTCTTTTCTTTTCAGAACCCAGTTTTTGGCCCCTCTCCACACACACGGACACCCCCCACGCCCAGACAGGGTTAAGCGGAAGCCCATCCTTATGCTTGCCAACGGCACGCCCCTTGCCATGGCCACCCCTCCAGGGGCACAGACGCCCTCCCCATCGTCTTCCGCCGGCGCATCCTCGCGATCTCCGTCCTCTCGGGTCGACAATCGTATCGTCTCGCCGCGGTCCATCAATCAGCTCGGCCTCTTCTTCGCAGGTGCCGGCTTCACGCTGGTCTCGGCCCTGATCACCCGCCGCGCCGTCGTCCGCAAGAAAATCTCCGCCCTGCCCAAGTTCTACCACACGAGTCATGCCCCCGCCGGCCTCCAGGGCAACGCAGAGGGTTCCCTGATCGCAATCGAAGCCCTCGGCCTAGCCACCCTCAACGTCGTCAGCGTCGGCATCATGGCCACGGGCGGGCTCGCCTGGGCTTTCGACTTATCCTCCCTCGAGGACCTTCGGGAGCGGTCGCGGCAGTCACTCTATGGCCATGCGCGCCAAACGGACGAGGCCGGAGAGCGCGAGATGGAAGAGTTCGCGACCATGTTGCTCACTAAGCTGGGGAAAGCCCCGCCACTAGAAGATAAACAGGACAAGGACAAGAACGGCCAGGCCCAGAAAGATCAGGGAAACGAGAATGAGAAGGGGAGTGGGAAGCGAGATTAGATTTTCCCTTAGCCTTGAGGGCGAAAGAAGGGCGCGCCGAAGACGAGACTTTTGCATCACTACAAAGCGGTAGGGCGCGGAAAGGCTTTTTTTTTTTCCTCCTTGCGCAGTATCTATTCGGACTCCGTAGTTGACCTTACAGCATTGGTCCTGCGGTCAAAAATCCCAGCTGAGAAATACACGCGTCTGGTGGGCTCACTACGGGCTACATTGCCAGGCCAACTGAAGCCACTACCGGGGGGGGGGTGGGAGTGCCAGTTACGCCGCATTTATTCCACGAGTGGGAAGCAGATGAGCCTGCCAAACCTTTTACACTTCTCCTCTCTGTTTACTTTTCCTGACTCGCTGAATCGGGGACCACTAACAGGCAGATCGATGCTTAGAACAGGGCGGTTAGGGATGGTTCGGCCCCTCCCCGAATCTAGCCGAAATAAGTGGTTCTATATTTCTACAATATTTCTACAACGTATACAAACTGTCTGTCCGGAAGATCAGACTTGGACATAAATAAATACATCATGCGGCGATGAGAAACATGTCGACATGCTTTCCGTGTCCGTCGGTTCCGTGTTGACCAGCCGTCCCTGCAGCAGCTCTCCCGTGTACGCGGCGGTACAGAGAGAGGTAATTATATCGGAAATATAATAGAAGTATAACAAAGTTGCAAGTCTCGCATGTGTTGGTCAGCCAAGTCGCTGGCTCGCAACGAAAGGCGAGATCTATCCTGTACGAGATTCAGCCCATGGGAGTTCCGGACTTTGCATGGGCCAGCGCACGACCGGCGCACGACCGGAGTATAATAGTATTCAAGGCATCCTGCACGGTTGGTCTTAGACATCACAGATTAGGCGAGTACCCCCTTGCTCTACACTCACCCCCTCAGAGGGGACCGCGAGAAGGGAGATCGGCCACTAATGCGACTAGAGGACAGCGGAGCATCCAGCAAAGCCTCATCTACTTGTCCAGTCCTCGGCAGCCAGGATTCTTGATGCGATATCTGATGAAAGTACAAAGTAGTACGCTTCGCTTCCAAGTTGATGCCATCGCGCAGGGATTTCTTACCTGTTCGGGGGAGGGGCATGGCCCATTAGGGTGGGGGGGTCTTGATGCGAGACATAACAGCGACGTCCGAGTCCCTACTTCTAAAGATAGGGATATATCCTGTCAACCTCCTGATTTGTCTGTCTTTGTTCCCATTGTCTATGATCACCATAAACACTTTCCCTTCAACCTCTGTCACCTCACCCCCCTCAAGGGCCGACAACGCCTCGTCTTCCTCTCCTTTTCGGCCGGCCACTCCGATCTCCCCTTCTGGCTCGACAGAGAGATGCCCCCACGGCCTGTGTCGTAACACACACTGCCTGGGATACACCTAACGGACAAGCAGTTTCCCCTGGTTTCCCCCCTTTTCTCGGGGCCAACACAATGCAGTACCATCATGGGATCATGGTCTGTGACGGCCAGTCTCTCAACGGCTTCCTCTACGGCTGCGGAGATCCAGTGGTGATCTACGACGACGGACGAAACGAGATCAGCACCGATGAGGTCTATGTCCTTAATCTCAAGAACGGCCAGTCTATCGTCGTCCCACTCCGACTTATCTGCTGGGTTCCCGCGTACTCCGAAGAGCGACACGGCAGGACTTTCTTATTCACCTTGTATGGTCGCCGCTTCAAGTTGCCCCCCGATCCTGAAGGGTCGCAAGATTGTATTGGCAGTCGAGCCATCCAAGTGTCGTTTGGATCTACAGGTCATCTTGATTACTCCCATACGGTCTTGACGGAAGAAAATTTGTCGACATGTGCGCATCGCCTTCAAGAATCGGAAAGACAGGCGTATTGCACCCTCCAATGGAACCTGACGAGTGTGCGTCCCTTCCCGGCAGACATGGACGTTTCCTCCGAACGAAGGTCGTCTGTTTGTCTGTCGAGTCCTTCGACAACGAGTCCGGCTACGCCATCCTCCGGCATGGACGTGGACTCCCTTGGCCTCCTTTTGCGGCGCGACTCGGCCGTGGACCTCAGCTATCAGTCTACGGGGACAGAAGGCCAGGCGCTATACGGCCATGTGAGTCTTTCCCCGTCTGTGCTTGCTTTTGCTTTCTCCTTTCTCTCAAAAACCGTTGCCGCTGACCAATGATCATAGGTTGAGAACAACTCCTTTCAAGACGACCCTTCGGGGATGCTTCCCCCCCTTGGCCGTTTCGACAGCCGCTTCCCTCGCAAGAATGAAGCGCGACCTCAACCTCAACCTCAGCCCTCTTGCTTCATGTCTCTCGCCGCTGTCCAACCCAAGGAGATGAGCCCTTGGATGGAACCGTACGAAGCGTTCCTGGATCCCAGCTTTGTCAGTTTGAACGACATGTCTTCTTTGCAGGTCAACTGCTTGTATCTGCCACCAACGAATTCAAGCTCGGCCGGGCCAGGTGGCGACCAGACTCAAGCTTCCCAGAGTGAAGACAACGGCGTGAATTGGACGGCGAACGTTGGTGTTGGCGTTGGCGTCGCCGACTCCACACCTGGCTATGTCTGGAGTCCCGTCCAGTTCAGGCAGAACGCCATCGCCACGCAAGAACACAACAACTGTGGCTCCTCGATACACGCGCCATCGCTGGTTGAAGGACCACCTCAGATCCAGCAGCTCACGACGGCAGCGCTCCCCGCACCGATGGCTGACGGCCATTACCACGAGGCTCAGAGGCCTTCCGCTGGCCCTCCGGCTCCCGTTTTCTACCGCGTACAGCAGAGTAACGTGCGCACCGTGGGCCTTACTGCGGGTCCCGAGTCGGCTGGCTCTTCCACCGCGTCTCAAAAGCAAAGGCAAAGGCCAAAGCGTCGGCGGTCAAGCGACGGCGGATCCAAGGGACGTCGCTCGCGTCGGGGCCGGCAAAAGTCCCCGGACCCGCCGCCGCAGTACCGCCCGTTCCGCCCGGAGCTCGTCGCAGATTTCTTCAGCCGACAGGTACAGCTGCACGTTGAACCTCTGGAGGCACGGAGCCGTGAGCATCTTCTGGATCCTTCTTCGTCTGCCGAGGCGCTGGATCTTATCCGAACGGCGCATACCCAAGTCGTCAAGATTCTCGGGACACTACGCTCCGTCACCCAGGAGCCTTTCGAGTTCAGGGAGGCGAGGATTCGGCAGGACGCGGACACGATCATTGCTGTGATGCAGAGCATCCGAAGTGCGGCGCTGGAGGACGACGAACTGGCCGAACAGGATGTTCTTTCGCTGAAGCAACGTGTGGAGGCCTTTGTTACCTATGTCGAGTGGGTTCGGGACCTCCATCAGACGAGCGAGGTTGCCGCGTCGGAGAACCAAGCCGGCAAGGATGGTAGTAAAGACTCGTTTGACTCGGGCAACAACACCGCGGCAGCCTCTTCTACTGGTGGGCCTGAGAACGGACCGCATTCCGACAGCACGGCTGCGATAAGTGCCGCTGGCTTTACTGCTGCTGCTGTCACTGCCGCTGCCGCTGCTCCCGCCCATCCCCATCCGTCACCTTACTGGACGACGGACGCAGCTGCACCTGGAGCTGTGGAGTACGGAGCTCAGGGGCTTTGGCCGTCTGTTCCTGTTCCTAGGATACAACCGCCCGCATCGGACTCTGGTACTGCCTATCCTCTCCCGCAAACGGGAGCCATTTCTCACGACGCTCCATTGTCGGCTGGCCAGCAACAACCTTCTCTGTATCATCCCGGCTACTCTGCCGAATTTGAAGGTCAACCCCCCGGACCTTACCCTCAGAACACCGATATTATCTACACTCAACGGAGACACTCGGCTCGTTGAACGTCGCCGGCGCACAGGGTCAAGACATGCCTTCCAACAAGGTCTCCGTTCATGTCTCGAGTAATTTTTTTTTTGCTTTGTGTGTTTTTGACACTTATCCCTGAATATCTGACCGTTTTCTTCTTCTTCGTTTTGTCTTGCTTGTTCTGTCCTGGGTGTCTCTGGGCTTCTCTCGCTTTCCTTTCCCTGAGTGAATGAATATATCGCGACCACCATGAAGAAAACACGAAACGGAAACGGATACATGGGAGGACGAAAAAACATGACTGAGGAGCACCTACTTTCCTCCTCTCACGCCTACAACGATAGAAACGAGAGAAGGTATTATTTTGATGTCTGCGCCATGGGGAGATGACTTTTATGTATCCTTACTGGGAGGTTGTCTCAACAGTGCAATCGGCGGTTTTCTTCATTCAACAACAAAAAGTCCAATTTTCATCTCTTTCCTTTCTTTCCTTTCCTTTTCTTTTCTTTTCTTTCTTTCTCTTCATGTAGCTCCAAGTCCCCCGTTTCCCACCGCTGTGGAAGGGTAAGACAAAGGACAATAAAGACAAATGAAGAGAAAGTCTCCCACCACAACCCATGAATGAGCCTTGACAGAGTGAACAAGTGGCAGATTGTATGTGATACAAACATGCAGCGGCTGTGTCCCCGGAGGCCTGTTGTGTCTTTATACGATCTCGGCCCCGCGACTTGGCCACGAAATAGGAATCAAGATGATTGCTCAGTCTGCTCTAATGCAACTGGTATTACGACTGTAAGTATGTGTATAGGTATATATAACTTCCATCCCATAGCCGCCCTGGAGATGTACAAGTCTGGCTCTCAACATCCCCCCCCCCCATTGCAGTGAGTATCGTTGTCTATCCCGCACAAAACAAAAGCTATGTATGCCAATAATGAAAAAAAAAATAAACAAAAAAAATTACGCATGCACGGAGGAAAGCAAACGACAAGTAAAGCGGCCCCCAATCCCGCCCAAAAGTACATGGCTGCGCTCACATGCCCGTCCCCGAATCCTCAGCGTAATCCTCAACGAGGCTCTGCATCTCCGGATTGTGGTCATGAGGGTACGACGACGACGACGGCGACGGCGACGGCGACGAGGCCGACTTGCCCCCCTCGGCCCTCTGGCGGAGCCTGGCCTCGAGCCCCGAGAGCGCGCCGCCCTCGGGCCGGGGCACGGAAGCAGCGGCCTCGAAGCTGCCGCGGCGGCCCCAGTTGCGGGGCTGGCGCTTGAGGAAGGCGCCGACGGAGCCCAGGTAGCCCTCGTGGCGGAGGAAGTAGGCCTGCTTGCGGCCCTGGGACCAGAACTTGATGGCGTAGGAGAGGGTGTTGATGGTCTGGCGGTGGCCGCGGATGAAGGAGCCGCCGAAGTAGATGTGGGAGAGGTTGTGGATCTGGGATTGGAGGAAGGCGATCTGGCCGATGTTGTTGGAGATGGCGTAGAGGAGGGAGCGGGAGATGTCGGCGGCAGTGAAGGGGGGTTCTTCTCCGCCGTCGCAGGAGGAGGAGGCGGTGGCGGCGGGGTCTGTTTCCGGCGGTGATGGCACGGTGAGGTTTCCTTCGGCGCTGATTTCGCCGTTTTGGTCGGGGTTGTCGTGGTGTTGTCGGTGTAGGGGGTGGTGGTGGTGGTGGTGAGGATGATGATTTTGCTTCTGCTCTTGCTCTCGCTCGCGCTCGCGGCGGTGCTGGTCGTCGGTATTGCGCAGGCCGCCGTTGTCCTCGGCGGCCGACTCGGCCTCGCGCTTCATGCGAAAGACCTTGCCGAAAGAGGAGGCGATGGTGGTGCTCTTGAGGCCGATCTTGCCGTAGTCGGTGCCGTAGATGTCGCCGACGAGCATGTCGACCTTGGTGTTGTCGCCGCGCTCGGCGGCGTCGAGCATCTCGTCGAAGGAGCGGGCGCCGGTGAGGAGGGAGAGGAGGCCCCAGAGGGTGCCGCCGCCGAGGGAGGTGCCGCCGACGCGGTCGAACTGGCGGGGCCCGGAGACCTTGAGCATGGAGACGCCGGAGCCGATGTTGACGAGGAGGTACGGGTAGATGTCGTCGGAGGGGGACTCGAAGTGCATGGGGTCGGTCTCGCTGTAGGTGAAGACCTCGCGGGGGATCTCGGTGATGAAGAAGTCGAGGCCGATGATGAGGCACTCCATTTCGTCCTCGCGGATGACGTCGACGCCGAGGACGTCGCGGATCTTGTCGTAGAACTTGTAGGCGCCGCCGCCGGTAGCCATGACGCAGAGGGCGCCGGGCTGGGAGCCGTTGAGCCTCTGCTGCTTGTCCTTGATGTGGCGCATGAATTCGAGACAGTCGTCGATGTGGTCGGTCTCGAAGTTGATGAAGTTGAGACGACCGCCTGGTTCTCTGGAGTGGGCTTCCCGGGAGAAGTAGACGAGTTTGATAAGCGAGCCTCCGATCTGTGCCGCCCTTTGGTTAGTAATGGGGGAAAAGGGAAGGGAAAAGAAAGAAAGAGAGAAAGAAAGAAAGTGGTTCAAACGTACATCGACGGCAATGTGGCTCACGACTGCATGGTGGTTGGGCAAGCGGATGTCGCTTGTAGCGCATCCACTGCCGTTCGAGGAGGAGCGGCTCGGGGAAGACGAGCCCGGGTCAACGATGAAGGCACCCTCAACATTGATACGGACGGAACCCGGGTGGATGATTGTATTTTCGATTTCCTCGGCAGAAGTGGTGGCGCGCTTGCGACGGCGGGCTATCGAATCGGGATCTTGCGCATCTTGGGATGTTGACGTTTCTTCTGGTATTTCTTCTGGTGTTTGTGTTTCTCCCTTCTCATGTTCAGGTCGCGTGGCAGTTGCGCTGACAACAGATGACTCCCCGATGGCGGGAGACATGGTGGCGGGTGGGCCGATTCTTCGAATGTTGATGAAATCGTCTTGATCATTCGTTGGCGCAAAAGCAAGTGATCGCGACCGACACACAGGGTTGCTTTTTCTCTTGCGTACCAATTGAACTCTGATGATGAGGAAGAGGAGCGAAGAGAACAGAGGTTCCGGTCGGGTTAAAGGTCGATTTAATCCGGTCGGTTGGGATGCGAGAGATTTTTTGGCCGGGAGGGGATTTTCGAGGGATTAATTGCGACACGGAGCGTTTTTGGTAGAAGGTTTCGGGGCGTTTCGTGGTGGGGAGCGGAACTGACGGAGAGGCGGGAGAGTGGAGAGAGAGATGGAGGGAGGGGTATGAGGGAGAGGCCAAATAGAAGATCAGTCGACGGCAAGGTTCATCCGCCCACCCGCGACCGGATTCCGCTACTGACCGGATTTTAGGATCGGGGACGGATATTATTTGTAGTAGCGTGGTAGCATCGAGTAGTGCAGTGTCGAGGATGAAGGACGGATGGGGACTGGAGACTGGGGACTGGAGACTGGGGACTGGAGACTGGAGACTGGAGACGAGACTGGAGATGAACCGATTCCCCCGCGCTTTCTCAGGGAAAAGCCATTAAAGCCTCTAAAACCCTCACTCTGACGCCCTTATCGTCTTATCGATAAGCGTCGATAACCGAGACGTGTTCCTGCCCCTCATCAAAAGACCCGCTGTTTGCCGCTGGGCCGAGGCACTAGTCCGATATGTCCACGTGACTATGTACCTCTTGAAGTAGGGTCCATATCCAAGGAATAATAATAATAATAATAATAAAACAAAGAGATGGAGACATCTCAGACTGCCCTTACATGGTCTACTCCCACTCTTGCAGCTTCTTCATTCAGAGCATCAATCTCTGCTTGGACAAAGGGTATCCCCGTCTTCTCTCGTTCCTCCTGCGTAAGTTGTTCAATCTCACCAGGGAAATAAATCCGGTCCACACCGGCCGCCTTGTCCGACCCCACCACCCGTTGGTACAGGTACGCCATGCGGTCCCGAAACTCGTCCAGACTCATGAAGAGGTCTGGCTTGATGGCCACCAAGAAATGTCCGACGTCCGCGGGCTTGGAAGCGTCGTAGGGACCCGTGACGTGGCCTGCGAATGCGGACCCCGATAACACTCCCGAGAAGACATCCATCATAATGGCGAGGCCTGAACCTTTGGGACCCCCCATGGGGAGCATGACGCCTCGGAGCGCCGCGGCGGGATCGTCCGTCGGCTTGCCCTCGGCATCCAGTGCCCAGTCCGGCGGGATCGTCTCCCCCCTCCGCATCGCCTTGTAGATCTTGCCCCGCGCGGCAACCGACGGCGCCATGTCGAGTACGAAGGGCCTGTCCGTCCTCTTCCCGGGGGCGCCGCACGCGATGGGCGACACGCCCATGAGCCTGCTCTTCCCGCCCCAGGCCGGCAGCGCGGGGCTCGAGTTGGTGAAGACGAGGCTCATCATGTCGGCGTCGGCGGCCTGCTGCGCGACCCAGGCGCTCATGCCGAAGTGGTTAGAGCGCGACACGCTCGCCATGCCGATGCCGTACGTGCGGGCCGCCTCGATGGCCGCCGCCATGCCCCGCTGCGCCGCTACGAAGCCGAAGCCGTTCTGGCCGTCCACGTGCGCCACTACCGGCGTTACGTGGCGTAGGACGGGCTGTGCCGACGGGTTCATGACGCCTTGGCGGATGCGTGCCACGTAGGACGGGAGGCGGTTGATGCCGTGCGAGTCTACGCCGCGGAGGTCGGCGGCTACGAGGCAACGGGCGACGAGGGCGGCGTGGGCTGGAGACACACCGTTTCCGCGGAGAATGTCTTGGACAAGACGTTTAGCCTCGGATGCGGCCACATGAATTCTAGGGGATGACGATGCTTTAGCGGACATGATCAGGAGGGGGAGTGAGGAGTTGAGATGACCGAGTTTCAGTTGGTGTACCCAATGTACCTAGCCAGACTGGGGTCAATACAATAACCACAGCAAGTACATCTCCGAAACAAGGAATTATAGTGGGAAATTGTTAAGACTACTTTGTTCCTTTTGCTTATGGACTGGCCAGATAAGGTACTTTATATACCAGGTACTTAAGACATACAAAAGATAAAAAACATAGGGACTCAATAGGGAGACCTCACGTTTCAATATCGAGACCTCAAACGTGACATTTTAGTGGGGCCATGAACCCGCCGCCAAGATATATATATACCGCACCTATTTTGTATGTACACTTTATATAAAAAAACGCAGGCGACATCGTAAACCTTAACGTACCTGTCAGCACATAAATAAGGTACGCAAAAGATATATGTGTGCATTAAAGAAGAGTAAAAGATACTCTGCGGAAATGTCTAACTATAAAGTAAAAGGAGGGGAAATTAATGTGGATACATCGGTCGGAAGTACCCTATCCGTCTACAGAAATAGCGTAAGTCATACCCCGATAAGGTGGCTATAGGCATCTAACACACCCCCCCAGAACTATAGGATTAATCCTGACTATTCTGCTTAATTAAAGCCGTAAATCTAGGGTAAAATAGAGGCCTAGATATTAATCCAACGATTAAAGAACGGCTTATTAAAAAGCGCACTCTTTTTATGCCTAAAAACGTTAAAAACGTGTAAAAACAGGTGCCTAAATCATAATCTAAAAGGCACTAAAAACAGTTAATCTAGGCTATAGATTTTAAACTCAGCACCGCGCCTCTTATAAATTACCTTAAGCCCCCTAGCTTAGGACCTTTATCCCTAATAGATATATAAACGCCGTATATTTCTACGGGGAAAATACTTTAGTTAGCCTATCGCTGACTATCTTTTAGGTTAAGATCCAGGTAATTAGGACCTTTTTCTATTAAACGACCTATCGAATCTAAAGGGCGTGGATATCTAAATACTTTAATCTAGATATAACCTAAGGGCGTGGAGTCTCTAATAGGATCCTTATTTAGTCGTTATCGTAGTATATCGTTAGTAGTTCCTCTTTAAAGGTTAAGGTCAGGTCCTTAATTAAACGCCTTATCGCGATATACTGCCTAGTAATAGCAGAAAGTGCTATAAGCTCGGCTTTAGTACTAGAGGTTATAATGCTTATTTACTTATTTGCCTTCTAGTCTATAGGGCCACTAAATAATAGTGTAGTGTAGCCCTAGGAGCTATACCGAGTCTTACGGTTATCCCTAAACGCCGTGTCGGAAGTATAGTAAAGTGCGTGCTATAGGTAGTTATCGCGTGGTCTAAAGTAAAGGTATAGGGACTTAGTTAAGGCCAGGTATTTTAAACACCTATCTACGGTATCGTGATACTATTTTAACGGGTTAGTGTTAAACTCGGTAAGCCTTAAACCAGCTTTAGATACGTTAGGCCGGGTCTAACAGGCCGCGTAATTAATAGAACTAACCTTCTGTAGATATAGGTAGATTAAATCTATAGAGGCTTATTCGGCTATAGGTTATAAAACGTTAGGAAAAGTAAGAGGGCTTTTAACCCTACGCCCACTAACGGGGAAATCTATCCCGAAAGCCTTCATCTTTTCGGTGATATAGTTCTCAAGGGAAAGCTATAGCCGACGTTATTAGCGATCTTAAACCACTTTAATCCCTAGGAACCATTTAAGTAGGCCTAGGTCCCTTACTTAAAAGTGCTACTATATCCGTTATATAAGAGAATTAGTAGCAGATTAATATTCCTTTCTATAGATTAGAATAATATCGTCTACGTAGAAGAAGACGATTAGTTCCTCACTTTTAAAGACGTAATCGTCTTCGGTCAGTTACTTTAGGTCGCACTTACCTAAAACAGAAGAGAGCTATTCGTGCTATAGCTTAGGGGAACGCCGAAGACTATATAACGCCCTACGCAGGCATTATATACCGCGTGAAGGTAGTCGCGATAGCTTTAAAATAGCCTTAAGGTCCTCGTCGCTCTTTATGCCTTTTACTACTTAAAGCAGCGGTTAGCCGGGCGGATCCTTAACATAGATCTCCTCGTTAAGGGTGGTGTTAGTAAAGGTGTTAACGGCATTAAGCTAACGTGTTTCCAGATCAAAATAGACAGTAATAGCCATTAACGATCTAAAGGTCCTTCCTGCGAGGGTGGAAGTATAGGCGTTAAGGTGGTTTTCAGGCTATTAATCGCCTCGCACGTATAACCTCGCCTTAAACTTACTAACGTACCCCGACAGGTTAACCTTATACTTAAAGACCTATTTAAGGTCTAAGGCATATTACCCTCCTTAGGGCAGCTCTACTACTTTAAAGGTGCCTATTAACCTAAGTGTATCTACCTCTTATACGGCTACCCTAAGCTATTACAGCTTATATAGGCTCTTTAGTATCTAAGACTAATTTAACGGTTCCTTAGGTATCTCGCGGCGTAATAGCGGCTTTTTCGGCTTCTCGAAGGTGTTATTATAGTAGGAGACGTAATTGTTATAATTAGAGGGAGGTCGGCGATTACGAGCAGGCCTCCCTACGGGGGTAGCCGTTAAAGCTAAAGCAGGCGAATAAGAGGTTAGTTATTAGGACTAAATAGCAGTAATAGTAGTAGGATTAGACTTAGCTGCTAAAGATAGAGTTACTGCTTATAGATTAGTTATTTAAGGAGTAGCGGTAGTGGTAGTAGCAGTGGCCTCTTTAATAACGGATTAGTCAGGTGATAATAATTCTATTCCGATGGTATTATCGGTAGCCTCGCCTATAGCCTCCTTTAAGGTGGAGGTAGATCCGCTAGTATCGTTAGATTCCTCTTAATCGCTGCGTTTAATTACAGGATCGTTAGGAGGTGGCGAAAAGGGCGTATAAATAGGCCTTAAAGAGGAAGAAGAGGTTATTAAAGAGGGTAAAATTAATGCTCTCATTAAAGAGGATAGTAAAATAGCAGTTAAAGAGGAAGAACTAACGGCAGGAATAACGGTAGGCATAACGGCAGGCACTATACCTGCCACCGCTGTGGCAGCCGTTCCACGTGATACCTCTTAGTCAGTAACCTGTTAGTTTTTAGAGGCGTTTTCAGTGGTTTTTGCGTTAGTGGTGGTTTTTAATCCTTTACTACCACCGCCGGCCACCCCCCTAGATCTTAACGATTAAGGCTATTATTAACGCCTCCTTCCCTCTTATAAAGCCTCTATTATAGAGTTCTACTACGTTACCACAGGTATACCGAAATCGACGATATCCGTTATAACGCTAAAAGGATCGTGAATCCCTTAATCCAACGGCAGATTAAGCTCTTTATACAGTTCTAAAGGTATATTAGGTTCCTCTCCCCTATTTTTATAAAGGACTAACTCGTCGAATACAACGTCCCTTATATGCAGGATCCTCCCTAGTTCTAGCACCTAAATCCGAAAAATATTAGTGCCTTCGTAACCAATTAAATAACCGATATATACCCTCGGTGCGAGCTTTTCGTTCTTATACCTTCCTCGTAGGTAGTCAGCAGTTAACGCGTACGCCTTATAACTATACCTCTTTAGGTGCATAATTAAGGGATTGGTTCCGGCTATAAAGCTAACGATACCCTCTTTTTATAGCCACGCGTTTAGTGCTCCCTCGGGGGTTTACTAGCCTAAATCCCTGCGTAGAATCCGGTTATACAGATAAGTGGCTACTATAATAATCTCTGGCCATAGATCCTATTAGAAGCCTAAGGCATCTACTAATACCCTCACGATAGCGAAGATAATACCCCTATACCGTTCGGCGTTAGCGTTCTATACGGCTATATAAGGAGCCGATCTTTCTAGCAAGATACCACGATCTAAAGACTAGTTATCCAGCTTTTTCTATAGCACCCTCTCTCCGTCGAGTCTAATTACACTAATAAGCAGCCTATACTGTCTCTATAAGAAGAGTTCGAAATTAGCTATCGAGGATAGTATATATTTATGCCCTAGTATCGTTCTAGTCACGTTTTTATACGTGTAGAGATTATAGAATAGGGTAATAGTATCGTCGCCGTTAGCGGCAGGATCTATCGAAAACAGATCCACGTTAATCCTCTAAAAAGACCTTATTAGCCTATAGGTAGGTAGACATCGCGATACTATCCTTTTTACCTTACTAATAGCGTAAGCCTCGTAGTCCACCACTAAAGGTGCCGCTCTTCCTTTTAAAGCCACGATACCTCTTACGCACCCTTTTAATAGCTATACTAGTGCTTAAGGGTTAGCGTGCCCTAGCCTCTTATGCTATAAACGGGCGTCGGTCACGCTTATAGGCTTTAGTTCCCTCGAGCTATTAAAATAGCTCTACTATTACTACTATAAGCGCTATAGCGTGCTATCGGTCGGTTTAAGGGTATATTAGCCATTAACGTTAATTAACGGTAGACAGGTACGTTGGTCTATTACTAAGATATCTCTGCCGGTTATAAAAACAGCGTTCTAATCCTTCTATAACCTGCGTGTTACTAGCAGCGTTATAGGGTATCCATCCATAAACGCCACGTTCTTTAGTATAAGAGTATAAGGACGTCCTTTCATATCTTTAACCTAAAGACGTAGGGTGCTATACCCCTTTACTACATTAGAGGTACCGCCACCTATCTAAAATCTAACGATAGTGGTAGCAGGCTAGAAGTCCTCGAGTAGGTGGCGTTAATTAGTTATATGCCTTAGAGACCCCGAATCGATTAATAACTAATTAAATAAGTCGTTACTAACTATCTATTTAGTCTATAGGAGCGAGAAAACTGATAGCGAGGTCGACGATACTACCTCTTTTCCCACGAAATTAAAGGTAAAATATATATCGTAAAAGCTATCGTTAGAATCCTCTTCCCCGTTATTAACGAAATTAGATACTTTCTTAGACTAATCTTTCTCTAATAACTTAGCTTTAGTCTCTTTTACCTTATTTTTCGCCTTATCGGTATTCTGTTTAATATACTCCTTAAATCTCTTTTACTTAGAAGCACTTTAGCTCTTAATAACGCGGTCGTAGCGTTCTACTACCTCCTTCGAGGGCGTAAAGCCCTTTTAGCGGCGCGTCGGATTAATATTCGGGCAGCTACTCCACGGATAGCAGTAGCGTTTAGCTCTTCCTATCTTAATGTAATCGTAGATCAATTCCCTTACCGAAGAATCCTCTTTTCTCTATTACTACTAACCTTCCTAATTAATAGGCTACTATCTACTATCTTTATCCTTTCCTAGGAACGTCGCCGTATAAAACGATAACGCTATAGGCTTCTTATTAAGCCTATAGGGATATCTATAGCGTAACTAAACCGTATATTCATTTATAACCTCTTTAATAATAGGTTTATCTTCCTTATCTTCCCTTAAAATCTCTGCAAAACGCGCCTCTAACTACTCCAGAGTTATAGTACCGATAGCCCTGAAAAACGCGTTAAGTTAATTCTCTATAGTATTTGAAGATCTAACGCTATAGGTCTTAGAATCTCGGTATAGCGATATAAAGTCCAAAAGCTAACGCTTATAGGGTATCCTCCGTATATTTTATATATATCCTTCCTATCTCTTCTTAACTAGGGACTTCTAGGCAGCGTTAGTAGGTTTAAGATAGTCCTTTAAGGCGATCAGGATATCTTTAACCTCCTTCTTCCCTGCGTACTAATCCTTAAGGTTAGGATTTACTATCTTCGCGATATAGTCGTGAAGAATAGCTAGACCTCGTTGCTATTACTAATATTTATTCTCTTTTACGTTCCACAGCTTAAACTTATGATTCCAGGCATTATCGTCGTCACCTTCTTCTAGAGGTTCCGAGGATTCAAGCTATTAAGGACGTTTAGATTCCTTAAGGTCTGGATTAACGAGGTCAGAGACCTAGTTAGTATAGGGTATCTATATAATAGCCTCGATCTAATAACGCTATTCTTTTAGTATGGTAAGGATCGTATAGCCTATTATAGGCAATGCCGTAGTTAAGGCTATCGTCTAACTAACTAGGACTACAGGGAAATAATCTATTAGAACCGACTATAACAGACTAATTAAATAAGGAGCGTTTAAACGAGATAGGATTAAGCGATTTGATTAACGGAATAACAGAATAACGATTATAAATAAAGCAGGCGGATATAGCTAATAATACTAAGCTAACCGCTATAGACTTAAGGCTATTTTGACTGTCTTCAAGCTATAGGATCTATCGGAATAGCTTTATTTATTAGAACGCCGGGCTTATAACTGTTAGCATATAAATAAGGTACGTAAAAGATATATATATGTATTAAAGAAAAGTAAAAGATACTCTACGGAAATATCTAACTATAAAGTAAAAGGAGGGGAAATTAATATAGATACATCGGTCGGAAGTACCCCATCTGTCTACAGAAATAGCGCAAGTCACACCCCGATAAGATGGCTATAGGCATCTAATAGTATCACTTCCCACACCGTAGCGCTCTAAATCGAACCGCCCAAAACACTATAATAATAAGTCACTATATCCTATACGATATCCTACACTATATCCTACATATAATAACCGATTACCCCTACGGCTCTAAGCTAAGTATTAAGATTAGGTAAGTTAGTTACTATATCACCCACGTTTTTTTACATAATATATATATACAAAATAACTACGGTATATATACATCTTGGCGGTGGCATTAGAGCCCTACTAGAATGTCACGTGTGAGGTCTCTATATTAAAACGTGAGGTCTCCCCATTCAATCCCAAAACATATAACACTAGGTTTTCGCTGGCCATCACCGACCTAACTACCTAGGTACTAATCCGGCCTTTACTACGGTATCTAAGCTTATATAAGGTAGGGGAGTGCATAGGTACCTATGTATAGTACAGTACCCAGGTAGGAAGGTAGGTACCTTCCTTCTCAAAAGCCGAAAAAGACAAGACAACACACTGAAGCTATCAGCGGATAATCCAGGGCGGGCGACAGGAACCTACTTAATATTAGCGTCGGCGCCCTTATACATAGACTCTAGGGCAGGACCGTTATACGGGGTATATAGGGCCGTTAGCGGGAGCGTCTTTATGCAAAGGCATAGGGTATTATAGTTTATTAATTAAGGTTTTAAGTCGTGTCTCGGATGGCTAAACTAGAAATAATCGTGGAGATACAGAGCAGCGCTTTATTCGCGATCGTGGGCGACCTCTGTCTGCGCGCTAGAGGCTACCGTTGACTGCAATGGACACGGTTGTGGAGGCAGTTGATTCGTCGGGGTGCAGCCGATGAGACGATCAGCACTGGCGGCCGCGTCCCCGCCGCTGCAACCCAGCCAGCACGCGCCCGCCGCCACAGAAGCGCCCACAGGAGGTGATAGGTATTGAAGCACGCAACGTTCCTCGCAGCTGCCCCGGCAGTCGCGGAGCAACGCGACTTCGCATCCACCCGCAAATGTCAGGACCGCACCAGGTGAGCACCGTTTCCTCTCCATCTGGAGGCTGCCGCTGATGATCCGCCTCTAACAGCCGCCCCCTTTCACACACCGACCATTGGAGGATGACGCCGGGGCGGAGGGCGTCGCGCCCCGACCGACTTCGCAGACCTGCTGCCGGCATCGAGCCGCACGCCGCACGCCGGAGGACGACCTGACGATCCCTGCCCCGCAGTCGATGCTCGCCTGTGTCGATGCGGAGCTCGATCCGCGGCGGCTTGCCGGCATCCACCGCTGGCTGTGGATCGCGGGCCGGCCCATGCCGCCGCGCCCGCTCCGCCAGCAGCGCCTCCTCAGCCGCGACCTTGTGATCACCGAGAGGCTGGACCAGCACCTCGTGTGGGGGAACGGGCGCATGCTCCTCAAGCCGCTGCCAGCGCTTCCTCCTGGAGCCGCGCTTCTGGGGCGAGCACCTGCGCTGCGGCCTGCTGCCTTGTCCTGAGACAGAACCTCGATAGACATCGATAGAAAATAGCGTGGTGTTGATATGCAACCCCGCACGGCTCCATTGGCGACGTACCCGTCCATCTCGCCACACGGCAAGAAAGGTGTCAAGTTTTCATAAACGGAGGTTCTGGAGGCACTGGAATTTTCGGGATACAAATCGCCAAAGGCCTCGGCATTCCGTCAGTCTCATGCACTGCGTACAAGGAGTCTCTCTGCAAAGAGCTTGTGCCCGACTATACTTCTGCCGATGTCGTTCAGGTCCTCAGGGAGTCTGGTCCGATCTACATGCTCTGCGTCGACAACGACATGACGAACGATCGTGGCCATTCAACCCGAGGCGGAAGTGCCCCCTGTTGACATTCTCGCTCCCGGGACGTGCCCATCGAGGTAATGCCGCTCTGCGCCGGCAGACGCCCTCGAGCGTGCCATCGCCTGGGTCAGCGTTAGCTTCGCCCTGGAGGTCATATGGAACACGGCGAGCCCAATCGAGCATGAAGAGTTCGACGGACTGTGGTCGAGAGCACTGTTGCTCGCCGGTGTGCTTCAGAATGGGCAGTGTCTGGCTGCTAAGGGCGGGCCAAGCCTGCACTGAGCCGCAAGGCCGCCCTTGGCTCTGGCACCATTTGGACCTTCCTGAAGGACTTCGCACCAATGCTAGTAGGATACGATGCTTCGCATGAAACGATGGGATAAAGCTTGTGCCGCGTGCAGCTGGGCCGATAGCTGGGACACACGAAGAACCAGGTACGCGAGGGTGTGAGATAGTGCGACGAGCAATTTGAAACGACTTCAGAGCGTCCAGTGAAGGACGACCCCATCAGCCCACAGCTCTCCTTACTTGAGCTTGGCACCTATGCATTTGTGGACAAGAGGTCGTTGCAGAGCAACCTTCGTCCCCAGGTCTTCTCGGCTTCGGGAATCGCGCACGTCCTCATCCAATCCGATCGCAGCACCTCATCTACGCTCAGACGATCACCAGGTATAAAAACGAGCATGCCCCGTATCATCCTGAACAGAGCATCTCTTTCCCGATCATCCATCACCTCCAGTCCCCTTCTCCTTCTTGGTTCCTGGATCGCATCTTGAAATCGCTGGTAAAAAGTCCATACCTTGCGTCCCTCCTTTGGCTTCCCATTATCGTCAAATCGCTTTGACTTGCCCTCCCAATTTTCCCACCATTCATCCGGCATTGATCCAAGGGCATCGACCTGATCCGCCGTGGCGTCATCTGGCCCAAATAACCAGCTATCGAGGAATGGTCTAACTCCAAGGATTCCCCAAATTACACACCCGAGACTCCAGATATCAGATGCATACGACAGGGGCGTTGTCGGCTCGAACCTTGCTTCAGGTGGACGAATTTGAAGTGGCGTGTAGGACTCGAACCTTGATTCCTGTGCAGGGCAGAACGCCGTCCCAAAATCGGCGAGGACGAGCCTGGCTTCTGGGAGAGTAAATTCTTGGCCAGTTTTGCCGAGCCAGATCGGCGGATAGACGTGGGGTGGGACACCTGGTGAAAGTGGCTGTCCATCAACTCTGACAACAGGTTCAGGCTCTGGCGGATCAAATTCTTCGTATAATTGCTCGGCGGTAAGATGATCGAGACTGGGCAACTGGAGAAGGATGTTTCCCATATGAACATCTACCAACCATTAGAGATACTCAGGAATGACTAGCAGGACCAAGTATATGTACTCGCCCCCGTGAACATATCCCAAATGATGGACGTACGAAACCGCCATAACAAGCTGGGCGGCAAGTGATCGGGCGACTTGAAGCTGGAACGGGCCAGAGCCCGGCTCCAAGACATCAGCAAGACTGCATCTTGCCGGCGCAGTGACAGAACATGGATGTGTTCCATTCGGTCCGTCGAGGTTGAAGTGATCCAGTATCAAGGGTATCATATTTCCACCAGGCTGTGCGTTCTCAACAGTGCGGGCGGACAATTGGCTCAGAAGGTCGATCTCTTTGGAGCTGTGGTCCGCCGTGCCCACTTTGATCGCGACATACTTGGCCAGTTGCCTGTCCCGAGCCAGCCAAAGGGTCGAGTAACTGCCAAAACCGAGTTTGTGTACTATAATATATCGATCTCGAAGCCTATCCCCAATCTCAATGGGATGATAACCCCCTGGCCGATAGTAGTCGAGTCTTTCGACGTCGTCGATGTGCTCATAGGGTGAGGTTGACATTGTTGACATGGTCGATATGGGGCGTCTGTTGTTGTAGCATGAAGTTGCAATGAACGATCGAGGGGTCGAAACCAGCCATCGCCTTGGGATACTGAAGATGTTTAAGTGACGCATTCCCGCGCCTGGGAGGGAGGTTGGTCGGATGTTTGGCTGCTGATGAGCGAGTGTGTTGAGGCGTTGGTCAGTCCAGTTGCCTCCAGGGAAATGGTAGCCGCTGATGGTTGGCCTGCCGGGTCCAGTGGGCCCCCGACCGGCCAACCGGCTAACCACAGGCACCTTTACCATGTATTTTGTTACACTCAAAAACGTACTACTACACCAAAAGAGAATCCTCTAATGATATAGGTACTTTTTGATGTTATATAGTTCAACATATTTTCATCAGACCCGCTTATTTAACTGGGAATATTCCCACGTTTTGGAAGTTGACTCCCAAAAGTCACAGTCAGCCATGCTTCGCACCACCCATTGGACAGTTAGTTAGCTTACCTTAGATTGGCGCGCGCTTCTTCTATTATCCTTGGAGATGCTCCCTTTGACACGAGAGTATCGAAGCCTAAAAGAAGGGGTTGAAGCGACGAAGACATATATATATAGAGGTCCCCCAATGTCCGGATTAGAACTGTGTTCGTGGATGGGACGAAACACCAGATTCTTCTATCCATAGTCTGAAATCGAGTGCCACAATGTCCACAGTCAACATCGTCAAATATTACTTCCACAAAGATCATATACCCAGGACTGCAGAGCGGATGCAACAATTAGTAGCCTTAGCATACCAGACCGCAAGAGATAGACAACTGTACCCACGAGCAGTTTTCATTCGGTAGGCACTTTCCACGTGTTCCATGGAATTCCTAGAGAACAAATCATCATCCGAGTCTAATGCTGAGAATCAACAAGATCGGAGCTTCATGCCACGACTTCCATTAATGGTGTCCGTCAACAAGACCCGAAGGGCCTTCATGTCACTCTCTGCTACAAAGACGACGAGCAGCTGCGCAAGGGCACACACGTTGCCTGTCACGGCTATGTGATTGACGCGGAGAACATGGCATTCAGGGAGGCTACTTATGCTGGAGAAAAATCCGACTCGACTAAGAAAAGAAACAAAAACCGCACTCCTGTGTGGCCGTCTGCGGACGAGCTTTACGCTGCGCCCGAAATCGGCTATGGTCACTGGGATTAGATAGAGGAAGCAAGCAGGGTGACACTGAGAGTCATTGCAGAAGCAATGGTCGTAGGATTCGTAAAGGAATCTGGGATCTTTGGTGAATTCGGATGCCTCAATGGGACAGGGGAAGAATATAGGAGGAGCAGATTTTCTAGAGATAAATAGGTCTCGAGTAGAATAGAAATAGCTGCTTGTATTTTGCTGTTGTTTATTTTGAGAGGTCCCCGAATCCGGGCTCTTGGCGTAGGAAGGAGCCTCGCGGCAGCCGAATCGCTAGCGGCGTTGGCTCTAACCTGTGGCTTAGGGTCGCTACCGCATGCCGCAGGGGACACTATAATAACTTCTAAAAATAGTAATAACGTATCACTAGGTATACGCCGAAGGTAGGCTTAGTAGTACTATTTACCTTTATAAATCAGAATATAGTAAATAGTAAGTTAATGATTTCGCCTATAACTATTACGTATAAAGCCTATATAAATAAGAATTTCTTATAACCTGCTATATAATACCGTGTAAGTATTTACGGTACTTACTAGCTCTTATATCCAAAGCCCGTATAAATATAATTTTCTTAAAAGCTATTATATAATATCGCGTAAGTATTTACGGTACTTACTAGCAGTATCTTTCTATTATAAATAATTTAACGCGATAATCTTACTATCGATATAATAACAGAGGATATCTTTTTACTCTGCCCTATTCTGAATATTAAATATACACTTCTATTTAATCGAAATCTCTATTAGGCGGTCTGCCTAAGCTATGGTTTATCTCCTAACACTATTAGCCGGGTTAAAAAAGAAACTTTACTAGCCTTTTCGGATAGGTCTATTATTAATTTAACTGAATTAATACCATCTAGAAGGGAATAAAAGCCTAAGACGGAAACTAGGGCCGTGTAGGCGTTTAAAGCCCGGTAAGGTTAAATACTAATACGGGCGCTACGGCTTAGTAAGACGGAGCGAAAAGTTAGTATCGCGTAAACTAATAAGGAAAAGTAACCTATACCGATAAAGGAAATTAGTATTACGTTATATAGCGGCAAGTACTATATAGTCTTAAGCGGCGGTATCTCCTTTTAAAAATTTATAAATATACTCGGATAAAAGGTTATAGGCCGAGTTATTATTTTACTCGACCTAGTATTACCCATGTATTAAGATCTTATACGTTATATTATTATATAGTTTAATACGAAGAAAGAATAGTTCGACCGAGACCTTATAGTTTTCCCCTATAACGATAAGAACCCGTAAAAAGTCGACTTTTATTAAAGCGAGATATATATAATTATTACTTTACGTACGCTACTACGCGAGTTTAGAATTAGACTTTTGAAAGAAGTTTATCTTAGCTTTCCTCGTATAACGGAAGTCGAAGCCGACTAAGTTAACTCTAATATTTCTCGTAAGCGCGCGGGCTGAAAAATAACTATATAAAAAAAAGCCGGAGGAAGAAGATAATATTCTAATTACGGTGAAGAAAGAAATTACTAAGCGGCCTCGCGCGGAAAAGACTAAAAGTAAAGGAAAGGCTACCGATAAAGAGTAAGAAGGACTATAGCTAGCTAATACTAGCTAGCCGGAGCTAAAAAAAGAAAAAGAGGAATAGATAGAACTAAAGTAAGAAAATAACGAATAAGTGGAACTAAAAGAAGAAAATAAGGAACCGGTAAAATAAAAGCCGCGCTAATCTCGTAAAGTTATTATACCGGCCTTAATAATAGATCTATATAACTAAACGGTATCATTTTCGGCTAGACGGAAGCGTATAATCTCGAAAGTAAAAGGTAAAATAGATTAATAGGGTAAATATATTTATAAATAATTAGAAGGCAGAAAATTTTAATTATTTATTCGCTATAGTCTTTATTACTTATAATTTTATCTGCTACTAGATCCTTAGTTCTGATCCCCTTATTTCTGAAAAACTCTTTAACCGAAGTAATACTTACCCTATAGCGTAGAAAGCATTATAAGAACGGGTTCTTTCTTCTCCTTATCGTATAAGTATAACCCCTTTCGTATATACTTATATAAAGGCAGCGAAGGACACTGCTTACCTTTTATAGTAAGAATTTCTAGTAAACCTATCGCCGTGGCTTTTATACTACTATAACTTTCTATTATTATTTATAGAAGATATTAGTTAAGGCTTACTAGCTTATCTATAAGAACGTTTTCTAATATACGAAGCCGTATAAGATTAACCCGAACGTAAAGGTTAGGACTGCTTTAGTGGTAGAGGGCCTAAGGCTTTCCGTTTACGATATATAGTGTAGATAGTTAGGCACGAATTATATAGTAGTTATACACTTATATAAAACGGGTAAAATCCGTCCGAATTAGAGGTATATAGACGTAGAGAAGGGTAATTTTATCGATAATAGAATAAGGATCGAAAAGGCCGTGTTTAGAAAGATAAATAAAGAATTCCTAGAAGAATTAGTAAAAAGTGCTAAAAATAGAAAAAATACTAGATACTTATATGCTAAAAAGCCGCGCGAGATTAGTAAAGTCTATTCCACTATAATTTAATCCATTAATTATAGATACTTTTACTAAATACCCAGTAATCTTTAAACTTAATTAGAATCTCTTATCTGGTAGCGTTTATCTTTATATAAGAGCCGGCGGAAAGAAACTAGTAGCCGCCTATAAGCGTTATTTCTTTACCTTAGTCGGAACGGATTAATTACGGGATAAAGCTAACTTACTAAATAACCTTTATATACTAAACGAGTATATTTTTAAATATATACGCGGATACGCCTATATAGAATTAAGTTATAAACCTTAAGTACGCGTTTATCCTTACGTATATTATAAAGCCGAAGGGTAATAACTTATTGTACGTATTTATAGACTAAATAAAATTAGGTCCCGGCGTTATCTAGCCTTTTCGATGGTATCATATCTCCTTATACCTTACCGCCACGTCTTTAGGAAATAGTTCTATAAATATACGGTATAGCTTATATACGCTAATAATAAAACCTTATTAGCGTATAAACGTGTAGAGCTATACTTTGCCTAGGCCTTTCATAAATAATGCCGTAAGGTCTTTCTTTTCGAAGAATAGCTTTATACACTAGCATTCGGCTTCGATTTATTCTGTATCTTAACGTCTCTAAAGGTGCTAATATCTACGGATTCGTTTAAGACCTCTCCTTAAGATCTAGAAGCCTTCGGCTTAGAGCTAATAGAGTATCTTATCGTCGTTAAGAACGTTAAAGAAAAGCGTGTGAATACGGCGAATAAGATTATCGGTAATAAGCGTATAAGTCTCTCTGCGTAGGCCCTATACCTTATAATAACGCTATAAGGTCTAGCGTATTACCGCTTTACCTATTTACTCTTCCACGAAACGGTATAAAGCCTAATCGGTATAACCCTCTTTATAGCGGCGATATATCTTATCGCGCAGGGGTTTTAGGTTAAAGTATTTACCTCGTATAATAGGATCAGTCCAGAAATTATTAGAAAGTGTAATACGCGCTCGTAAAGGGTTATCCGGAGATAGAATAGAGTTCGCCTAATAATAAAAATATCTACTAAGATAAAAAGAGAACCGACTAGCCAGCGTACACGTACGTATACTATCGTATAACATAACCTATTATAGTAATATAGCGAAAAGGGTATATATAAATACCTATATATATTTAATATTCTATATTATAAAATAATACTATATTATATAATATGAAATATATAATTCTAATATTTAAATAAGATATTATAATATAAGTAAAAGGTTATATTATATTAAAGGTATAACATATATAGATAATTATACGATATTAATACAGGATACTACTATTAAGATACACTTAAAACATAAGCCTTATAAGATTATAAATATATAGCTATATTATTAAAAAAGCTTTTTAAAAGTAGTAAAAGGTAGATTAAGACTTAAAATATAGTATCTACTATTATAATAATAATAATAATAATAATAATAATAATAATAATAATTTTATAATAGTATATTATATAGTAATATTCTTACTATAAATACACTATTATATTTAAATCCTTTCTTTATTTAACTATAACCGAATTGAGTCATATTAATCTATTATTAACTAAGCTCTAAGTAGTATATCGTATAGATATACTCTCTTAGTAAAACTAGACCTATTCTTAGTTTAATAAGGTAATTAAAGGCCTTAAAATTATATTTAATTCTTTAAAGTGCTTTTATTATTATTGGATTCTATAACTTATAAAAGCCTCTTAAGTTAAGTATTTTTACGTTACTTAATATAAATTATCAATTCTTTAATAACCTATTATTAGTCTTCCTTCTTTTCTAAGCTCTTAGTTAATTATAGCTAGCTATTTGGCTTTATTCTCTTTATCTAAATCTACAGAGTCGTTATTAACTACTATAGATACTATAATCGTGGTTATAATCGTTATAGCTTATTTATTTATAACTTCTTACTACTTAGTCTATTATATCCGTTCTTATTTATCTAGTGGGTTAATATCAGGTGCCTGCAGCAGTAGTCACAATGAGTCCCCAGTATGAACCCATAGGGGTCCAGGCGTGCCTAGTCTAAAATCCCTCGAGGCATAAATAAAGCAGTTATCACACAGCAAATAGAATAGTCCCTCGAAGCAAATAAGGCAGCCCTCGAGGAAGCAAATAAGTAGTCCTCGAGGAGTAGCGGAACGTAGTCTTAAGAAGCAGAGGAGCCTCCTCTTTAGATAGGGAGGCTAGCGATTAATCTAATTCCTTAGCTATACCCATATTCTAACCCTATTATAATCCTATCGTGATTATACCTGGTTCTTTACTTAACCCGCCTATTCGGGACTATATAGTATCTATAGGAGTTCCTAAGAATTATTAGGACCTAGCCCCGGCCTATTATAGGGCTAAGGCCTTAACTATTACTAACGGACTAGCCGGCGCTCGGGCAGACTTCTAGTCCGCTACCTAATAATACCGCCACCGCTCGCGTGCCCCTTCTTATACCCCTGCTTCTACCCCTACTTCTATATCTGCCCCTACGCCTATACTAGCCTTTACTCCTAGCTACCCTATACGCCCTAGACCGTTATCGTACCTTAACTCTATTACTTACTATAATTATAACTAAAAGGGGCACTATGCTACTATATACTCTAGCCCTCGGGTACAGCGCCCGAGTAATAGTAACCCGAATACCTAACCGGTATCTACCTCTCGCCCTATAGTCGGCCGTATCACGGGCGAGGTGCCTTAGGAACTATACCCGCCTCGGACTACCCCTACTACTATACTAGTAAAGGCACGCATGTCCCTTCGCCAAGGTAGGGAATAGGTGTAGATATTAGCCCTCCTCGATAGAGGCGCCGATATTAACGTGCTGGATCGGTCCCTGCTAAGACCTAGTTAGGTCCCTAAGGGGTCCCCTATCCCGGTATCCTGGATTACAGAAGGATAAACGAAGATAACCCTTAGGTCCCTCTATAGGATTATCACTACCACCGACTATTAGGATCGGAAGAAAATACAGTGCGTCGAGTTTTACGTTATAGACCTCGATCCCTAAGGCGCGAAGATTATCTTAGGGAGGCCGTGGCTTATAGCCGTTAACCCTAACGTTAATTAGTAGTATAGTATATAAACCTATCCCTTAATCTACGCAGAGTTCGGTATAGTTACGTTACCGAGAGAACTACGTAGGGTAGTCAGATAAGCTAAGTCTATCCTTACTCTGACCTATATAGGTTTCATGCGGATTCCACGTATCGGCTATATCGGCCTAATAGAAAACCCTTTAGTGGGATATAGAGATGCATTCTTAGGAAATAGGGTCCACCCTAGTCTAAACGAGGACCTAGTAGCCGCTACCACGCTACCGGAATAGTATTAAGATTTCGCTAACGTTTTTAACGTCGAAGACGCCGGGAGGCTACCGACGTATTAGTAGTAGGATCACCCTATTAAGGTTAAGGAAGGGAAGAAGCCCCCCTACAGCCCTATTTACCCCCTTACCGTATAAGAGCTCGAGGTACTATGCTAGTACCTACAGGATACCATTACGAAAGGGTGGATTAGACTATCTACTAATCCGGCCGGCGCCCCTATCCTATTTATCCCTAAGAAAGGTAGTAAGCTACGTTTATATATCGACTATTGATATTACTTAGGGGGTAAGGATTAAAGGACCGTGTACCGCGGAGTATAACAGATATAGGTAATTATAAGTATCTATATAGACTAGGCGAATACTATTATATAGGTATAGACTATACCTAGTAGACTATGCCTAACTAAGGGCTTTAGACCTTAGAGACCTCGGGTATTAGAATATAATAAGGGGAGATACTAGGAAAGACTAAATAGAATCTAAATAATATAGTATCTATAAATAGAGTCTATACTACCTAAATTAAGGGATAAAAGAGTCTAAGATATATAACTTAATATAATATATATATATATATA